CCATGACACTGCCACGGCGAATTTGTCATGCCGCAACACCGTAACACTGCACCCTCAGGCGACAACCTTGACTCTGCAATCGCTCAGCGTCCTGCCATCGCCTGACACTGGAAGGTCTGGCCTCAGTGATGCAATCTGACACATGACACTGGCAAAAAACTGCTCTTGCAAGTCACTGCTATGACACCCTGCCGACATACCTATGGCATGTGACTCTAGCAGATTTTTAAAGTCAGCACCTTGAATCAGAACATGACTCTCTTCCTAGCTCTGGTTCATGCCGCATGACTCTCAGATGCTACCCTCAGACCCTGACACTGCTAGCGGCGAATGGGTCATGCCGCAACCAAATGACACTACACTCTGAAGCGATGACCCTGACTGCAATCGCCCAATGTCCTGCCATCGCTTGACACTGGAAGGTCGGGCCTCGGTGATGCAATGTGATATATTATGTGACACTGACAAAAACTGCTCTTGCAAGTCACTGCCATGACACTCTGCCGACCTACCTATGGCATCTGACTCTAGCAGATAGATGATAAGAACATGACTCTCATCCTAGCTCTCGGCGGCGAATGGTCCATGCCGCATGACTCTTTTAGATGCTACCCTCAGACCATGACACTGCTAGCGGCGAATGGGTCATGCCGCAACAACATGACACTACACCCTGGATGCCTCTGTGCTCTCAGGCGCTGACCCTGACTGCAATCGCTCGGTGTCCTGCCATCGCTTGACACTGGAAGGTCTGGCCTCAGTGATGCAATGTGATACATGTGACACTCACAAAACTGCTCTTGCAAGGCACTGCTATGACACTCTGCCGGCCTACCTATGGCATGTGACTCTAGCAGATTAATAGACGATAATTTAATTGAACAATATGACTCTCATCCTAGCTCTCGGCAGCGAATGGTCCATGCCGCATGACTCTCTCTTAGATGCTACACTCAAACCCTGACACTGCTAGCGGCGAATGGGTCATGCCGCAACAAAATGACACTGCACTCTGAAGCGATGATGACCCTGACTGCAATCGCCCAGTGCCCTGCCATCGCTTGACACTGGAAGGTCGGGCCTCGGTGATGCAATGTGATACATGTGACACTGATAATACAACTCTTGCAAGTCAGTGCTATGACACTCAGCCGACCTACCTATGGCATCTGACTCTAGCAGATAATAATAGACGATAAGAACATGACTCTCATCCTAGCTCTCGGCGGCGAATGGTCCATGCCGCATGACTCTCTTAGATTTTGCCCTCAAACCATGACACTGCTAGCGGCGAATTCGGTCATGCCGCAACAACATGACACTACACCCTGGATGCCTCTGTGCTCTCAGGCGCTGACCCTGACTGCAATCGCTCGGTGTCCTGCCATCGCTTGACACTGGAAGGTCTGGCCTCAGTGATGCAATGTGATACATGTGACACTCACAAAACTGCTCTTGCAAGTCACTGCTATGACACTCTGCCGGCCTACCTATGGCACGTGACTCTAGCAGATTAATAGACGATAATTGAACAATATGACTCTCATCCTAGCTCTCGGCAGCGAATGGTCCATGCCGCATGACTCTCTCTTAGGTGCTACACTCAAACCCTGACACTGCTAGCGGCGAATGGGTCATGCCGCAACCAAATGACACTACACTCTGAAGCGATGACCCTGACTGCAATCGCCCAATGTCCTGCCATCGCTTGACACTGGAAGGTCGGGCCTCGGTGATGCAATGTGATATATTATGTGACACTGACAAAAACTGCTCTTGCAAGTCACTGCCATGACACTCTGCCGACCTACCTATGGCATCTGACTCTAGCAGATAGATGATAAGAACATGACTCTCATCCTAGCTCTCGGCGGCGAATGGTCCATGCCGCATGACTCTTTTAGATGCTACCCTCAGACCATGACACTGCTAGCGGCGAATGGGTCATGCCGCAACAACATGACACTACACCCTGGATGCCTCTGTGCTCTCAGGCGCTGACCCTGACTGCAATCGCTCGGTGTCCTGCCATCGCTTGACACTGGAAGGTCTGGCCTCAGTGATGCAATGTGATACATGTGACACTCACAAAACTGCTCTTGCAAGGCACTGCTATGACACTCTGCCGGCCTACCTATGGCATGTGACTCTAGCAGATTAATAGACGATAATTTAATTGAACAATATGACTCTCATCCTAGCTCTCGGCAGCGAATGGTCCATGCCGCATGACTCTCTCTTAGATGCTACACTCAAACCCTGACACTGCTAGCGGCGAATGGGTCATGCCGCAACAAAATGACACTGCACTCTGAAGCGATGATGACCCTGACTGCAATCGCCCAGTGCCCTGCCATCGCTTGACACTGGAAGGTCGGGCCTCGGTGATGCAATGTGATACATGTGACACTGATAATACAACTCTTGCAAGTCAGTGCTATGACACTCAGCCGACCTACCTATGGCATCTGACTCTAGCAGATAATAATAGACGATAAGAACATGACTCTCATCCTAGCTCTCGGCGGCGAATGGTCCATGCCGCATGACTCTCTTAGATTTTGCCCTCAAACCATGACACTGCTAGCGGCGAATTCGGTCATGCCGCAACAACATGACACTACACCCTGGATGCCTCTGTGCTCTCAGGCGCTGACCCTGACTGCAATCGCTCGGTGTCCTGCCATCGCTTGACACTGGAAGGTCTGGCCTCAGTGATGCAATGTGATACATGTGACACTCACAAAACTGCTCTTGCAAGTCACTGCTATGACACTCTGCCGGCCTACCTATGGCACGTGACTCTAGCAGATTAATAGACGATAATTGAACAATATGACTCTCATCCTAGCTCTCGGCAGCGAATGGTCCATGCCGCATGACTCTCTCTTAGATGCTACACTCAAACCCTGACACTGCTAGCGGCGAATGGGTCATGCCGCAACCAAATGACACTACACTCTGAAGCGATGACCCTGACTGCAATCGCCCAATGTCCTGCCATCGCTTGACACTGGAAGGTCGGGCCTCGGTGATGCAATGTGATATATTATGTGACACTGACAAAAACTGCTCTTGCAAGTCACTGCCATGACACTCTGCCGACCTACCTATGGCATCTGACTCTAGAAGATAGATGATAAGAACATGACTCTCATCCTAGCTCTCGGCGGCGAATGGTCCATGCCGCATGACTCTTTTAGATGCTACCCTCAGACCATGACACTGCTAGCGGCGAATGGGTCATGCCGCAACAACATGACACTACACCCTGGATGCCTCTGTGCTCTCAGGCGCTGACCCTGACTGCAATCGCTCGGTGTCCTGCCATCGCTTGACACTGGAATGTCTGGCCTCAGTGATGCAATGTGATGCATGTGACACTCACAAACTGCTCTTGCAAGTCACTGCTGTGACACTCTTGGCATGTGACTCTAGCAGCTTAGATGATGATTGAACATGACTCTCATCCTAGCTCTCGGCGGCGAATGGTCCATGCCGCATGACTCTCTCTTAGATGCTACACTCAAACCCTGACACTGCTAGTGGCGAATGGGTCATGCCGCAACAAAATGACACTGCACTCTGAAGCGATGACCCCGACTGCTATCGCCCAGTGTCCTGCCATCGCTTGACACTGGAAGGTCGGGCCTCGGTGATGCAATGTGTTTAATTATTATATTAAATTGAAATTATTATTGTTATATGTGACACTGACAAAAACTGCTCTTGCAAGTCACTGCTATGACACTCTGCCGACCTACCTATGGCATCATTTATTGAATAATATTTATTTATTATAATTAAATTTAAATATTAAACTAAATATGTCATTTAATTATTAAAATAGACGACGACGAAAATAATCATTGAACAACATGACTCTCATCCTAGCTCTCGGCGGCGAATGGTCCATGCCGCATGACTCTTTCTTAGATTAGATGCTACACTCAAACCCTGACACTGCTAGCGGCGAATGGGTCATGCCGCACAAAATGACACTGCACTCCGGATGCATCTGCGCTCTCAGGCGATGACCCTGACTGCAATCGCTCAGTGTCCTGCCATCGCTTGACACTGGAAGGTCTGGCCTCGGTGATGCAATGTGGTACCTGACACTGACAAACTGCTCTTGCAAGTCACTGCTATGACACTCTGCCGACCTACCTATGGCATCTGACTCTAGCAGACGATAAGAACATGACTCTCATCCTAGCTCTCGGCGGCGAATGGTCCATGCCGCATGACTCTCTCTTAGATGCTACCCTCAGACCCTGACCCTGCTAGCGGCGAATGGGTCTTGCCGCAGCGGCGAATGGGTCTTGCCGCAAACACCAGCATGACTCTGCACTCTAGGGCTCCACGCTGACACTCGAGGTGATCCACGGTGAGGGCGATGTTCACATGAGAAGCTTGCTGACACTCGAAGCGAATTGTCAGTGGTAAATTACCACTGACAATTCGTTTCGAGTGGCAGCTTGAGCTAACGTGGCTTATGGTTGTTTGACACTACAAACTTATGGTTGTTTGACACTACAAACCATACAATCAATCGTTGTATACCAAGACCCAGCAAAACCACAGAAATTAAAAACACTCCGAAAGCACAGCCCAGTGATGCTCAACTTTAGAAACTGAGTTGCTGGTTGCCTGCTACTTGAAAGGATAGGCTGATTCTCTTATCGGGCATCTTCAGTATCATTATCATCATCGTCAACTCCTGTGCGATTCCATGGCTACAAATCACGCGGAACCACACCAGAGACACCGGTTGCAGACATTCCCTAAGCGTCTGTGCACCCAAATGGTATATACTTTGGGCCTAAAGTACCTACATAAAGACTACCTTGAGGCGATAAACATGTAATATACTATTTGGGTACATGGACCCTTAAATACCCCCCAAAAAAACCAAATATCCCTAAACTTTGTAGAACCCTTAAAGGAAGCGGAAAGGAGCTCTCTTGCGGTACATGGGACATACAAGGCAGCTGAGGCACGACCAGGCTGGTCCCCCTCGCAGGATTGAAAGACTTCGGTGGCTTTCATGGATAGACTTGAGCTTAGAGGACCCTGAAAAAGCAGGGACATTGGACCCATATACTATGAATCCTGATTACATGACCATTTTAGGGCTAATTTCCTCCTCTTAGAAGCTAAGCTGAGTATCCTAGCCCATAAGCTTATCAAGAATGGCAGAAATATATGAACCCCAAAAGGTTAAAGGTTACCTACTCGGCTACGAAGTTATGAGTTTGTAGGCCCCCCGCCCTTTTTCCCCTCAAAACGGTTCAGTTTGGAAGCTCCGCTAAGATCGAACAAACCCGAACACCCGCTCACGGCACGACTCATTTGTGCCCCCTAGACGGAAATTCGTCATGGTATGGTTCCATAACGTGTGGGTTTCATGTCAACAAGCATGGAAAAAACTTTCCATGCAAGACCCTGACTAAGCAGTAGCCTTGAAACCCTGTCATCAAATCCTCTATGGAACCGTGAAAGCGAAACCGTAACACCTTAACATAAACTATGAATCTAGAGTTACTAGTGTTCCCTAAAAGAAGATGGCCGTAAGACATCGGTACATTTAAAATACCTTGTGTGCAGTACTTTGGTTACTGCAGGTAAGCCTTGACAACCCTAAACCTAAACCCAACTCCCCAACGCCCGTGAACCGGTAAGCCCGTGAACCCTACCCTTCCCCTAAGACCCTAAACCCTAACCCCCTAATTCCCTAAACCCCAATACCCCAAACCCCTCATGCCCGAATACCCAAACCCCCCATTCCCCGTAATCTCCAAACTCCCGAATCCCCTAAACCCCTAAAACTCAAAAAGAAACAATTTGCTTTGCAGTCCCAATTTGAAACCCCAAAAAAACCAAAAAAAAAGGTTTTAAGCGCGCCTGCGAGGAGCTCAGCGAGGTAGCTCACGCCACCAAGCGCCTGCTTTGGGGGACTTCGGGGCCCTAAGCCCTCCACCGTAAACCCTAAACCCCAAAGCCTGAACCCGAAACCCATAAACCCTAAACCCTACGCCCTAAACCCATAAACCCTAAACCCTAAGCCCTAAACCCTGAACCCCAAATTTTAAACCCTCGACCCTAAACCCCAAACCCGGAACGGACTCGGCTGGGCTCCTTAAGGATTGCATAGGGGTTCTTTTAAGAGCTTTTTTAGGAGGAATAGTCACTACAATTTAGGGTTCCTTTACTCGCCATACATGTCTAAGCCTCTAGCTCCATGCAGCTGTTCCAGGTGCCCCAATACCTTTTTCACAGCAGCTTCCACTTGCCACTATTCAGCTTCCAGCAAACACCAAATCAGACAGGGTATAATGGCACTACTACTTGGAGGTTCATGGGTAGTAGTAAGTGGGGTTATATGTAGGGTAACTAAACTCATAACTCCTATTAGAGGGCTTATAACCCTACTTATAACTACCCATGAACCTCCAAGGAGGGAACGTCGCATGAAACTCCAGAAACCACCCCATGGAGCCCTTTAAAGACTCCTATCCAAGGGTACAGCTGAAAGCCTACCTTGACCCCAGATAACCTACATTTTAAGGACTTATATAAAGAAATCATATTAGGGAACCCTAAACAAAAGTAGGCTCCTTAGAGTCCAAGGAGGCCCTGAAGTCTAAACCCAAAAGCCTTATCCCAAAACAGAAAGATTGGCATGGTACTACGTTAGGGGGGGGTGAGTATCCTAATTAGCCCAAACATGGTCAACCTTTCGATTTATGGTAGGAATATACAAGCCCCAAATGCTTAAAGGTTACCTACTCAGCCACAAATTACTGGCTTCCTACATCCCAACGAATGCGCCTGGAGTTGCTGGGCTCCACGTTTCTTTGCCTCGACCTCCAACGTGTCCTGCATTGGGAGCTGCCCGGATCTTGGCCTTTAAACACTGGGATCCCCAGAAATGGTCTAAGTATTGGTACAGTATGTGCCTTAACCCCGCATAATTTACCCACCTTTTCATGGACTTATAAAAAGAGATCATATTAGGGAACCCTGAAAAGGTAGGCTATTTGGGGTCCAGGCAATGCCTTTAGAAGGGCTCCTTACATGAACCCTACTATTATTTTGGGGTTATAGGCCCAAGGTGTCTTGATCAGAAAACCTACATGAGACTTGGTCTAAGTATTGGTACAGGATGTAATTGCTGGGGGTCAGACTTTGCGATGTTGCGACTTAGACTTTGGGTGTTGGCCATTTGGCTTTGGCCTTCACGGTTCCTGGGCAAGTATATACGGCCATACATTGCTCAGTTGTCTGCTAAAAGTTTGGGGTCTAGGGTTTCTGGTGCACGGGGGGTCCTTGACCTATACAGTACATGCCTACTTAAAGGATCATGGGACTCCGTAACTGGGGTTATAATCAGGGTAACTATACTTATAACTACTTACAACCTCAATTAAGGTACTTATAACCTTACTTACCAAGTCCCATGATCCTCCAAGCAGGCCTTGAAGGGGTTCCTTCCAGGATGTCCTTAAGGCCTCCGGCAGAGGTTTACAAGGGGCTTCTGTGGGTCCATTGACCCATAACTTGGGCCGTGAAGTGATTCTACGGTTGATGATAGAAATCCTGCATTACCTTAAGGACCCTAAACTATGGGAATTATGGTATCTTCCTTATTATGGGTGATGCAGGATTTATATCATCAACCGTAGTTCTTCAAGACCTATGTATCCAGAATCTCGGCGCATGAGCTACCAGAGCCTGCAGCCCTAATCTAATGGAACCACGAACACTTGACCAGAAGCCACAAGCCGAACACATTCATTGAGCCCCTCAAACTCCAGACTCTTTTGGGGTTCATGTGGTCCTGACTTCAGCGCCCTTACAACCATAAAGCACGATATGTTCAAAACAATGCCTAGGAGTTTTCGTTTCAAAAACATACAAATTCAATCTAAGAGCAACATAGCTTACTATGGGGGCCTGAATAACTACCTATGCTCTTTTGGGGGTGTCCTTATTGTAGTTATAGTATAATGGCTCCGAATCTCCATTCTAATTCTTACAGCCTTAGAGCCCCTAAACATCTATAGATCCCGTAATAGGAACCCTATTCTAATTATTAGAGCCTTAAAGCCCCTAAATTATTAAAGCCCCTATATTCAAGCTTCTTTTTCCCAGAGTCAGAGCCTAGACCTAAGAGTAACCTCGGAATGAAAAGGGTGCCCTTTTTGGTTTAAAGGGGGTTATAAGGGAACCTAAACCCTAAAGAAGGGAATAAGGGCCTACTCTGGATCCTAGAGTCAGAGCGCCTCGTCCCAAAGACGGAAGCCCAGATACTGGAGCTTCTGTGGATGCGCTGGGGGAGTGACGGAATACCTGGGAGCCGGGTTCAAACGATACCAAAAGGGTCCTAGGTACTGTTATGGGGGATACTTCCCCGAATCATAATAGTAATTCCTACATTCTACTACATATATATATATATGTATATATCTTAACCCTTGGGGTTAGGGTTGAGCGTTTAGGGTTTAGGGGGACAGTGACGGAATACCTGGGAGCCGCACTTCTACGACTCATGAGGTTTAGGCGTTAGGATTTAGGGTTTAAGGGTTTTAGGGTTAAGGGACCAGGGTCTGAAGTTTAGGATGAAGGTTCAGTCATTGGCTTTGTTATCGCGCAATGTCAGCGTTATTTTCTAGCATGATTGCTATCTTTGTGGATTGGGTGCGGTGCTCAACAACTGGGCGCTTTGCTCCCTGTCTTCTGACTAATTTCCTTGTCGGCCTCCCCACTACCGTATTAAGTCCATGACAACTTTTGCCAGGTATGTATTTTCAGTAAATGGTATCTTTTTATTGCCCCTACTGTCAGCAGTACCACTGCTACATATTGCTACGAAGGCTAGAACTGTTGTTTTTACCTCACGCTGACATTATTACAACGAACATACCTTTTTTTGTTGGCGCTTTCGACTCGAAACTTGTTCAGCAACCCGACTATATGGGAACCCCGGAAAGTACAACAGCATACCACGGAATAGCACCAACGAACAACCTCGACTGTTCAAGGTCTACCTTAACCCCAAATAGCCTACCTTTTCAGGGTTCCTTACTATGATTTCCCGTATACAAGTCCTTAAACAAGGTACCCAGACCCCCGGCAGGATCCAAAAAGCAGATCCCTTAATGGCGGTTCCAAAAAAATACCCAGAGTAGTATGGGGCGCCCAAATTACGGGATCTACTTTCTAGATCCTCCCCGGGGTCTGGGTAGGTGATTCAGGGTCCAGGTAGGCTACGAAAGCCTTACCAGGCTCCGGGGGCTATGTTCCGTCAACCCTTCTTGGGAACAGCTTTTGAGTAACTATCGCATATCCTGGTAGATTGAGGTTTATTACAGTACACCACAGTATGTTTTCTGTCTCGCACAGTATGTTACAGTTTATTCTGCTATACCAGAGTGTACTATCATATTTTGAAGTACTAGGGTAGATTACAATGCCGTCTTATTGCAGGATGCGAGAACATTACCACCAAAAAGGTGTCCTAAATACAAACACCCCAAAAGTGCTTATGGGTCCCACATCGTAATAGCAGTTCCTGCTATAAAAACAATACGTTCTGCAATATGCAAACATAGGTAATTGCGATCCTGTGAGAAACAAACATGAGCTGTTGAGGCAGTTCATTTTTCAGAAGCTCCATCTCCCACGGATAGAAAAAGGGGTCTGCGAAACAGACAGCCGAGTTTAATTCAGAAGCATTCAAACTTGAAACAGTCGTGTTGGTGTATATAGTGCTATGGATATAACAAGGAGCTCTAATACTAAAGAATCGTATTGCTTGACTATACAAGCCTCTATATCACATAGGTTGGATTCTCGAAAGTCTTGGCTTTCACTGTTGCATCAATCGCCCGAAGCATGAAGCCCGAGCCTCAAAGCCGGATAAGTAGATCAGGCTGATTGGCTTGACAGCGAAACCCACAGGGAGCCCACACCCGGGTCTATGATAAGGGTAACTATAAGGGATCTATAAGGGTACTATAATATATAGGGGCCTTCATAATCCTATAACTTTGCCTTCGGTTAGACTTTCAAGAGTTCTGATCCGCAAGCCCTCAATTTTCATACAGGGAACAACATTATTAGTGTTCAAGCCCGCCAATTGAACCCTGATGAACCCAATGTCTTTGAGCCCAGAAGCATGCCGCCGACTGCAACGCCGCAGTCGCTAGGAGCAGGAGGGATGTAGACGCCTCCCATGCGCGCACGTCGGTTTGGGTCAGGGTGCTTAAACCATATCCCCAGACCCCCGGAAAAATCTAGAAAGTAGATCCCCTAATTTGGGGCCCTATACTACTAAGGGTACTTTATAGGAAGCCTCTTTTTGGATCCTCCCGGGGGACTGGGTCTGCCAGGGCCAGAAGAATCCGTAACGAAAGCATAAAATACGGGAGTTTCCGAAAATAGAGGTCCCTAATAGAGCACCCTAGATAATAGGATCCTTATTATAAGAAGCCCCAAATAAGGCACCCCTAAATGTCGGAAACTCCCATATCCGGGGGCCGCCAGAATTCGCAGGCTCCACGTGCTCCATACGAAACATAGGACTTCGGATTTGACTCTACGGGGGTCGGGCTTTAACTTTAGGAAATGGGACTCTGCGTGGAAGACTTCGGCGAGCGGGGCTCTGAATCCAAGACCACGGATCCTGAAGTTCCCTAAGCTCTAATTCCTCAACCGCAAACACTAAGCCCTAAGCCGTAAACCTTGAGCCCTAAACCCTACACCCTAAACCCTGCAGGACGGACCAAAGTGGAAGTACCGCGCACCTACATCGTTGTACTCGCTGGTATTTTCCAGCCAGTCATGGATGTACTGGTTGGCCTTGCAGACATCAAAGAACCCAGACCTTCTAAAATCCTTTATCTCAAGAATATACTCTAATAGTATAGCAGGATCCCTACTCTGATTCTTTACTTGAAGGATAATGCAAGGTCTGGGAATGGTGCTTCCAAAAACTAGGGTACCGTCGGGGTCCTTGCAACAAGGATCCTGCTATGTAGGGTCTATCTTTGGGCCCTACTCCCCTATGGCGAGATAGGCTGCTTGTACCGCTTAGAGGGCAACCTTCTTCAACTTAATTTTCTTTGGAGTCTCAACTTAGGTCTGTTGAGGGTCTACGGGCTACATCGACGAGGGCAGCAGCTTCAAATGCCGAGCATGTCCGCCCACGAAACACGCACAGACACAGAGACAAATACAGAGAGACGCAAAAACAAATACACTTTCACAAACAACACACACAGAGACAGAAACAAATACAAGCTCACAAGACACACACGCACACACGGATGGGTATGGACAGCCCTTCGATCAGCAACCGAAAACTCTGAGCCCCAAGACACTACAACTTGAAAGAAGCTTTTGGAACTGTGGCACACTATAAAACACTCCCAAAGCCCTGGAAGACTGCATGAACAAAATAAAAAGGACCTGTTCGCGCCCTGTTAATCTGCAACAGCATTCTGGAGACTCTATAAACCCTAATTAATTGCATGAACATTGAACCTGCCAAGCTAGGCAGCCTAGCGACCTGCACGTTTAGTGCGCAGCCTCCCATCATCACGACTCCTTCCACCTGCGTCTGACTCGTCCCTATCTCTCCCTGCTATGTCTCTCTCTCCCTCTCTCTCTCTCTATCTCTCTCTCTCGCTCTCTCTCTCTCTCTCTCTCTCTCTCTCTCTCTCTCTCTCTCTCTCTCTCTCTCTCTCTCTCTCTCTCTCTCTCTCTCTATCTCTAAGACTCTCTACACTACTTCAAGTTTGCAAGCGTTAAATTTGACAAACCTAAGTATATACTAAGACTGGGGTTTAGGCTATTTTACGCTATGTTATAGTACAGGCATATCAAGACACCTGAAGTTTCGGGTTACCAATCATTCAGGCTCTTGCTTCCCTGAACTTGATGAGTGAAAAACCTTACTGACTGCACAGTACCCTGAGACTTCGAATAATCCACAATGGTACCCTGATAGAACCATTAAAAGCTGCTTGAAGCGCTCCTTCTTACGAGCTTTATAGTAACCCTTCTACTTGGAGGTTCATGGGTAGTTATAAGTGGGGTTATAAGCAGGGTAACTATACTTATAACTCATATTAGGGACTCATAACCCTACTTACAACTAGGCATGAACCTCCTTCTAGGACCCTTCAGGGAAACTGAGTCTTGAGCTCCTATGGTCCTATGGAATGCATGTAAATAAAGGCAGCATCGTCAAATCATGTCAAAACACTACTCAGAGACCCCCAAACTCCTTAATTACTAATTGACCGTGGAGGAACCTGACGTCCTATTGGGCTTCCCATGATGATGAAAGGAATGTTCCGTAATTAAGGGGAATAATACTACTACTACTAATAATAATAATAATATCAACTCTCTGGGTACCTCATCTGCAAAAAGCCGTACACAGCCGACACAGCGCACTCAAGGCCTCGAGGCATAGGTGCAACACTTTCTCAACAATGTGCTTGCCCTAAGGCTCCATGCAGACTACCACTAGGGAATCAGGCCTCAAAAACCATTCTAATAATGGAGTTTGAGGCCTAAATTCCATAATAGCAGTATATATGGACCCTCTTGGTTGGAGGACGATGGGAATTGGTAAGTAGGCTACGAGCACCTCAATTGGGGGTTGGAAGTATATCAAATATCTCGAGAAAGTCTTACTTTTTTACTCTAAATCGTCCCATGATCCTCATAAGCCTAAACCCTATAGATCCCAGGAGCAGCCAGTTTGAGGGGTCCTTTGATTCAGGAACTCCTTAACCTAGGATACCCAGTAACCTAAGAATAAAAAGGCCTCTCTTTTTGGTATTGGGTAACTTTATAAGGAACCTAGGACTACAAAAAGGGAATAAGGGTACTACTGGGCATCCTAGTAACTCTTTTGTCCTCTTAGCTTCACACCTAAAGTGCTGGGACGTAGGGCTTTCAGAGCTCCAAATGGGAGTTTCCGAAAATGAGGAGTACCTTATTTTGGGGTCCTCATAATAGGGATCCTACTATTTAGGGTACTATATTAGGGTCCCCTATTTTCGGAAACTCCCAAATGAAGCGATCGGGTAATGCCTCCCCATACAGTCCATAAATTGGGAACCAAGTGAGGCCTTTATGTATCTGCATTATGAATAAACTCTCACTTCGTCGGCGGCAGTAGCCAAACGAAACCCTGAATCCTTTGCTCAACCCAAAACCCCAAACAGGAACCCAGAGAGCCTAATACCCCTTAATTAAGGAATATAGCTTAAATCATAATATGAAGCCCTATACAATTTAAGCCATATTCCTTAATTAAGGGGTATTGGGCTCTCTGGGAAGCCGAAAGGCCCCAAGCATCGAGAAAGGCGCCTTGTGATGCGGAGTCAAGCGTTCCAGGAGGTCTTGTATCTCAGTCTGGCAGAGTTCTAAGACGGTTTAGTGCTGAAAGGGTTTATAGGGTTCTGGGGCCCATTATACCATACTTATAATAAGGAACCCCGCAAAAAAGTATTCGGCCCCTATAGCAGGCCCAGGGGGCCAAATCCCGAAGCCAAAACCTCGAACACGCAGCGCCCCGGACCTCTAAAGCCTCTAAATCCCTCAGGCTCTATATGTCCTCAAACCCCTAAGCTTTTGCGCCACCCCACCCTCCCCACCGCACCCTACTGTCAGCGCCGTTAAGACGTGAAAAAGTCAAGAGGCTAAAGACCTGCTTCGTTCTTCCCACTGGCGCTGGAGCTCTGCCGCGATGTCATGCCTTGGGTAGTAGGGTTTAGGGGTTGAGGTCCAGGCTGTCGGGTCTTTGAAAGGGCGCAGGGTTGAGGGTTCAAGTAAGGGCTCAGGACTTAAAGTGTACAGTCTTGGTTGAGTTTTCGTGTTGCGGGGATTATGAGCGCACTGACGTGGATTTAAGGTATACCCACCATGAATGAATCGAAACAACCCTCCGTTGTTAATGCTTTCAATCGAAGGAGGTCTATTATTCAGGTACTACAAAAGGGCCTTACAAAGATTTGGACGAAGCGTTAAGCCAGAAACCCCAAACCCAAAGCCTGAAACCCTAAACCCGAAACCCAGAACCAAGTTTTGGTCGTACTTCAGGCTTAAAGCTCATTGAGCGTCTGGCGGGCTTCTGGCTTATGGCTTCCGGTAGAATGCATTACCTATTTGCCCAGGATCCTAGGGGAAAATCTTTGGGATCAGGATTGGGGTTCTGTTGGGGGGCTTTAGGCTTCGGGCTTCAGGGCATTGGGGTTTAGGCTTCAGGGCCTTTGGGGGGCTTTTCGGGCTGGGCAGGGCTTGGGATATGGGCTTCAGGGCTCGAAGGTTTTAGGCTTGAGTTAGGGCCTTGAGCTTTCGGGTGTGGGGTTGGGGAGGGCTTGGGGTTTAGTTTTGGGACCGCGGTCTTACGTCAGGGGCTGTAAAGCTGAGATGAACCTGCGAAGAAGAAACATGTGACGCAAAATCAAGCATGCAGCCAGCAGCGCTCAAACTTAACACCTTCAGCTCGACTGCTACCCCCCATCACGAGACCCGGAAACACATGAACCATAGCGTCAGGGTGCTGGTTTTGCAGCGACTCGCAAGCGAGCTCAACTAGCTCCTCAAGGCGCAGCTATGTTCAGATATCAGGCCACAGCAGTTCATCCTACTGTTACTGTTACCCTGGAGGTTACAGTACAATTTGTTGATTAGAAGGACCGGGTTTACAGGACTATCCTGACATCATCAGAGTCAACGTCTGCACTGCGATGTGTGTTTCGCAATTTGAGCATGAAGAACGAAATCCTTTTCATGTTGGGATCTTTCACGTGTGAAGCTTGTTTGCGTTTATCTGCCTGCAGGTAACTCGCTTCTTTCTTTGCTCTTGACCTGTTTGTCGTGCGCTTCTCAAACGTGTTGCTGCAGGAGTGTCCGCGTTCCAAAGGTGCTGTAATTTTACTGGTAGGCCCTTGAGCTTCTTCTGCTTAGTTGACCTGGTCTGACAGCGATTTGATTGTTAAACACACATTGTCGGGTGGTTCCTGGGCGCGATTAGGCTAGCGTGGAACTTTATGTGGGCAGTCTAGAGACAAAAACTCTAAAACTCAGAAATCCAAACCCGGTCATCCCTAAAGCCTAAAAGTCAGAAACCCTAAACCCTAAACCCTAAACCCTAAAAGTCAGAAATCCTGAACCCTAAAAGTCAGAAACCCTGAACCCTAAACCCTAGGACTTAGAGACCCTACACCTTATTAATCCCTGTAAGCGCTATACATCCTAAACGCCCTCTTCCCGCGGCTCCCTGGGAACGAAGCCCTTCCAAGAGAAGGACTCGTTCCGGGCAGCGGGATCGAACGATGCACCTGGAAATGTGTGGGCTAAATATGAGGCAGGAAGGGTTTTGGGTGTAGTGTAGCGTATATGTAGCTACATTGGGGACTATATGGGGGCTACCACCCCTAAACCCTAAAGCCCCCCTAAACCCTAAACTCAAACCTGAACTACACCCCACAAAGGCCCAAGTCCCAAGCCACCAAGCCGACACCTTAAGCTGAAAAGCCCGAAAGAAGGTTAAGGGTTTTGGATGTAGGGTTAGGGTTTAGGGTTTAGGGTTAGGGTTTGGGCTTTAGGGTTTAGGGCTTGGGGTTTAGGGATGTTGGGCAGAGTTGGCCCCAAACCCCTAAACCCCACATGCCCGAACTAAAGTTCTAATTCGAAACCTCTGAAACCTAAAAACCTTGCATTGCTACGGCTATTTATGTTTTGTGGAACATACACGCACACTTGAAACAAAACAGGGCTGCCACGGACGAAAGGACTTGAAGGGAATGTTCCTCTGGAAGACCCTTGGTATAACACACTTTACGTGCAGCATGTAAGGGGGTGCATCCTATGCACTGCCTGTCGGGGGATAACCCTAACTCCCATTCCCAGAAATCCTACGCCTTAGTTTGATAAGCCACAAAAACTAGGATACCCAGTAACCTAGGAATAGAAAGGCCTCTCTTTTTGGTATTGGGTAACTTTATAAGGAACCTAGGACTACAAAAAGGGAATAAGGGCATCATCCCAAAAAGTGTAAAGTGCGCTCACTTAGCTAGTAAGCACACGCTATGAACCCCAAAGCTTTATCTTCTACGACAGGCATGACCTTAATCTTCACTCAGACAGCCGGGCGTTACCTCGCTAGGGCTTCGGGTTTCGGGTTAGGATCTAGGGTGTAGGTTTAGGGCTTCGGCTAGACCTAAGAGCAGCCTAGGAATAGAAAGGGTGCCCTTTTTGTTTAGAGGGAGCTATAAGGGAACCTAAACCCTAAAAAAGGAACAAGGGCTGACTCTGGGTCCTAGTCGGGTTTCGGGTTTAGGGGTTTAGGGGTGTCGGTTCTAGGTTAGGCCCTCAACCCTAAGACTCGAAGCCCCGAACCCTAAAATGAACAACTTTAGGGTTTACGGCTTTAGGGATTCGCAGTTTAGGGTCTAAAGGGAACTCGATTAATGGTAGGATCCCCTATAATTTACCTTAAAGGGGTTAGGATAATGATATTCCAACTTTCTGGCTTTTACCTTAAGGGTGGCTGAAAAGCAGAAATGTCCAGACTCGTCCGACCTCCGAGCATTTTGCTCATCAGCTTTGCCACCTCGGAGCATCGCAACTGGTGGGGGGGGGGGGGGGGCGGGATTCCTCAAAGGGTACTGTGGGATTTTCTAGGAGAGTTACCTTTAAGGGGGGTCGGTTACGATAGGGGGTCCGGTTCCCTCAACGGCTGCTTCCAGAGTTCCATAGCAAGGGCTTCGGGTTTACAGGGCTTTAGGGTTCAAGCAAGTACAAGTAAGGCAAAACCCGGTGAACCCGTTGTACAAATCTTCATAAGCCCGCTCATAAGAAACAACCTAAACCCTAAACCCTAAACCCTAAACCCTAAACCCTAAACCCTAAACCATAAGAAGCAAGACTAAACTAAAGCTTAAGCGTTGCTTGCAGGCCTCAACTCGGAGTCTCAGAAACCAAAGCGGCCTTGAAAGACACACTGCTTTGTTTAAATGTAGTTTTCTGTGTGGGAACCTCATCATTAAAGCTCAAACACCAAAAGCCTGCATAGAAAACACCTCTACTTCCAGCCCCCTTAAACCACAAAACGAAAGAAGTCAACTCCAAACCCCTAACCCTGAACCCGTGACTTCGATGATAAGCGTCGGAAGAGTGAATGATATTTGCCATCCATTATACTCTCGGTGTCGATATAGTATAGTCCTGAACCTTAAGCCCGCAAACATCCCTAAACCTGAAAACCCTCCACCTATGATTTCTAGCCTCGCTGGAAGAAACCAGAACCCAAATTCCCAAACCTAGCACCCCAATATAGCGGCGTGAGAAATTAATCAGAATAGGGCTTTGGAATCCATTGTACTATAAGTATAAGAAGGAACCCCCCGACAATAGTATAGCCAGCTAATTCAGGGCCCGGATATTGTACCCTTACAAGCCCTTATAGTCGCCCCTATATACCCCTTTAAAGGAACACCGAAATTCAAGGAATAGTATAGGCCCCTGTATTAGTACCCTAAGGGTCCAGGTATATAATATTCAAGGAGTCTCCTAACTATCGAGCCACATAACTACTATCCTAAACCCAAGTACCTAATTATTGGGCCCTTTGGACCTAGAATACCCTTACAAACCCTTATCGTAGCCCTTATTACATACCCCTTTTAACGGAACCCCGAAAGAATAGTATGGGCAATCATTTAGGCCCCTGTGTTCGGGAGCAGGATCTCCTCTGGGGCCAAAGTACGCCCCGCTGGACGCGGGGATTCCGAACGCTCCGGGAAAACGCAGCGTATCCTTGGCTGACTTCTGAACCCCTCCAAAAAGTTAAACTTTTATCCTCTTTATTATGGCTCATATAGAAACCCAAAAAGTTAATTTCATAAGAGCCAACCAGAAGAACGCCAAGTATCCCATGACCTTCCCGGCATCTGCCAGCCTTGCGTTTACGGAGCGCTAAGAGTTGCAAAGGCTGCTTTTTCTGGGCTTCGTGCAATGTATAAGGCTTTAGTCAGGATTTTGTTAGCACGGTTTTATGATATGACCTTCCCTTTGGCAAGAGCCTTACATGGGTTCGTTTCCAAAGGTGAAAAGACAACATTTCGGAAATAAGATGATTACGGCTGCTGTATTTAAACCTACTTCAAGTAAGAATCCTGCTCTTTGGGGTCTACGACAAGAACACCGGATTATCCGAAATCTCCGTCTTCAAGGCATAACGGTGTTGTAGGGGAAGGTTGGGGAACTTTGATTTTTTGTTGGTTGAAAACACTGTCACCAAACAGCATGGAGGGATCTACTCCCCTTAAGGAGTTTGCACACAAGCACACGTGTGGAGACCCCGATGTTGAAAAAACGAAAACCAAAACACCACCCATACGGCCAAAAGAACGCAGTTCGGAGAATTGGTTAGTCGAGGTGCCAGGGATTCGATTTCACAGGTTCGAGTTGGTTTAGGGCTAAGGGTCTAGTTTGGTGTTTGGGGTGAAGCATGGGAGAAGAAAAAACCGAGAGAGGCTCCATAGCTCGTAGGGTCCTGTCTGTGTATTATATGATAGGACATGCAAAGAGTCCGGCATTGCCTGCTTGTTAAGCTCCTCAAGCTGAACCCCGCCCAAAAGCATTCAATGTCACACCTGTTTTAAGCTACCCTCCTTTCTTGTAAGAAGTTCCGGGTTATGAAAATTGATTCGAATGAAAATTTCTGGGTTTCAGTGGTTGACTCGCGTGCACAGTTCAACCGTCGTTGGCATCTACAAGTCGGGCTGCATTTTGCCTCAAAACCCAAAGCTCCCAAAATCCTAAACTGCCGATGATGGAACCCTTAATATGAACCCTTTATGGGAACACGACTCCCTACTAAACCCCTACAGGCTAAAACCCCTTTTGGCCTCCTATGATGATCTGCCGAGACTCAAGTTGTAGCTCGGCCGCGCGACGCGGTAGGGAAACCAGGGCGTCTTTGGCTCGGTCTCGAGCCGCTCGCACAGCCATTTCTGGGATACGCGGCAGAGGTTTAGGGTTTAGGGTTTTCGAAGGACAGTTTGCGACATTTGTGAAGAACGGCTCACGGGTTTAGGGTGTGGGGCACAGGGATGCTGCTTGTACTCTTCTTGTGGTGGAAGGGTATATTTTGCCGAAAACCAGGATGACAAGCCGTTGCTTCTGAAGGGGCTTGAATGCACACTCCCCGCAACTGCTCTGCAGGAGGGTGACTCTAGTGTCAGCACGCAATGCATGGGGAGGTTACCAGGTTGCTTCCTTCGTTGCTCGACAGTGCGGTTCCTTTTGCAATTCTCCGGGTTCTGGCTATTCATCACAAGGAAGGCACACTATCTACACCCTATGAACCATGGTAACAACACTTAGGCTCCTTAGGTGAATTCAGGAAACACCCAACAACAACTATCGGGTTTCAAGACTCAGCCCAGGACTTGTGTAAACCAAGTTTCTGACAATGATGGAAATAATGAATCCCAAACCCCCAACCCTAAAACCTTAAGATATCACACTGGTGTCCTCTCAACCTAAGACCGGACCGAGGTGCCAGGACAGTCTTCCCTTCGGGGTAGATCTCCGTCATGAGGAGGGTGAGGCTATGGTAAGCATCTCGGCTAGCGGACGACATCGGATGCGCGGACTGCCTGAAACCATTAAACCCTACCTGGAGGTTCATGGGTAGTTATAATAAGTGGGGTGATAAGTAGGGTAACTATACCTATGACTCCTATTAGGGGACTTATAACTCTACTTATAACTACCCATGAACCTCCAAGTACTACAGGGGCCTTCATGCTTCAAGCCAATGCAACAAGAGCTAGAGTAAGCCGATGTCAGCAATATGAGGGAAAGTCTGCTGTCTGGTAATGTGTCGGTTGGCTTTGGCTGCTGATGGGAGCAGGGTGCTGGGATTTCCTCTTCAATCCGAGACTGTCATCAGCTTCTTCTTTGCCATGTCTTGCCCTTAACCTCAGAGGTCTCAGCAATACGCAACCTTTTTTGATTCCTAATCGCACATGCGTGCCTCGCAAGCAGGGCCTGTAATACAGGGGCCTTAATAATAATTAGGATAGAGTTTTGGGGGCCCACTATACTATACAAGAATGTAGTAAGGAGCCCCAAGGATAGTATTGGTAATTATTCAGTCAGTCTGCAGAGGATATAACGTGAGTGAAACAACCAAGACAGGCTGAGTGCAGTTCCTGAGGCTGAAGGACGACATGATCCTTGAAAGTATCGTCTGGTACTTGGAGGTTCATGTTATAAGTCCCCTAATAGGAGTCATAAGTACAGGTACCCTACTTATAACCCCACTTACAACTACCCATGAACCTCCAAGTACCCTGTATCTGTATCTTATACCTGTAACCTTGGGAAAGGAGCTGCAACATGAAGTCTTTTGGAGGTTCAGTTCATGCTGTAAGGAACCCGAGACTCAAGTCTGTGCCACCCGGAACAGCGGTGAGCCGAGCAGCTTGCGAAGTTCGCATCCAGCCGGCCTATTCCTCAGGTGCTGTCGAAGCAGCTGTGTGGTTCGGTGTGGGGTTCAATCCTGGAGGCTCCAAATAGCCCAAAGTAGGTTATCCGCTTTGTTTAGCGGCGGGGGGGGGGGGGGGGGGGGTCTTGCTTGGCTCACACCCTGACCGCTGCCTGTGGTTTGGTTGGAAAAACCTGCAGGGAAGTCATACTATTTGGCCGCTGAGTTCGGTGCTGGTGGCAACTTGCGTGTCGAGAAGCGGTGGATGTTGTTCCCCTCGCCATAATACGCCACATATACGCCGTCCTGATCGGTTTTATCAGGTTTCTGGTGGCAGGTGCAAGATGCGAATCTCGCAGTCTTTCCTCCGTTCCATGCAAATCAGCTTTAACAGGAGTCGCCCTACGCTGTGTCTGACAACAATACAATATGCCCAACTCCTTATACTGACTGTGATCCAGACTACGGCTGTGGTCATGGTATTGTGAGCTGCAACCTCTAAGCGATGGAGTTCGCGCATTCGGTCGCAAACAAACTGGTCCCAGAACCCATATTCCCACAATCTAAACTGAACTAGTCGTCTGTGAACCACCAGGATAGTACAGGATGGGTAACCCAACACCCTAAATCCGGTACAAACATGATCGATTCTAGGGTTTTTGGATGTAGGGAGTAATGGTTTGGAGTTGCCGTGACAAAATCTCGAGGGTCCATGTATCCATACCGCATAGAGTGTATTCGACAGGCAAACTACTCTGATATAGGAAACGTTGAGGCTAAACTACAAGATATATACCCACATGGGAACTGGGGTTTCAGGGTTTGAAGGTTTTTGGCTTTAAAGATCAAGGCTTAGGGTACTAACTAGTTGGGGGGGTTCAAACGCAAATAGCATGCTGCCATTGTGGAATCATATCCTGAAACCTTGTCTAGTTTGGAGCTATGTTACTGATAACAGATAAGCCCTAAAGGTCTTTTCTCTGTGCCACCACCTTAAACGCCTAAACCCAAAATCCCTAAACCGTAACCTAAACCCTAAACCCATAAACCCAAAACCCCTAAACCCCTTGCGACACCCCTAAACCCTACAGGTGCCCCGATCCCCAGAAAGCCGAAGCAACTACCGCAGCGCTTTATATAGGGGGTCTAGAGAGCCCAGGACCATGATGTATCATATAAGTATTCCTTATTTACGGTTTTTGGTACCCAAAACGGCCCAAAAGTCCTAGAATAGTGAGTCCTTGGACCCTTAGGATAAGGCTTTTGGGAGATCTGGAGCCCTAAAATTACGTTCTCTGCGGCTTTATGGCGCGTGTACAAAGGACCTCTGGGGCCTGTTGTACTTGGAGGTTCATGGGTAGTTATAAGCAGGGTTACAAGGGTTCCGTTAAGGGATCCTTTAAGGGTTCTAGAGGGTTTAGGGATTATAGAGTTTTGGGGTAGTTATAAGTAGGGTTATAAGTCCCCGAATATGAGTGATAAGTATAGTTGCCCTACTTAAGACCCTACTTAGAACTGCCCATGAACCTCCAAGTAGGGCCTGTTGTGGGGATGGTATTTAGACAATCAACCCCCGCTTTCGACACGAAGCAGTGCGGGTGAAGTAGGTCCTCGCCACCGCCATCGTAAGAGACGACCTCGGAGAGACAGTGGCGCCCCCCTAAAGTAAAAGCCAGAAAGTTGGAATATGATTATCCTAAACCCTTCTATGGTAAATTATAGGGTATCCTACCATGAAACCACATTCCAACTTTCTGGAGTTCCCTTTAAATCCTAAACCCCACAGTACAAACAAACATAAACTAGGATACCCAGTAACCTAGGAATAAAAAGGCCTCTCTTTTTGGTATTGGGTAACTTAATAAGGAACCTAGGACTACAAAAAGGGAATAAGGGTACTACTGGGCATCCTAGTAAAGCATGAACGTACACGAATCTTCCTTGTAGCTAACTCTCCCCAAACCCCTTTGACCTCCCGTGACGATGCAACACCCGGTTGATGATATAAATCCTGCATTACCCATAATAAGGAATATACCAGAATTCCCATAGGTAGGGGTCCTTAAGGTAATGCAGAATTCATATCATCAACCATCGGATCCACGGGGAACTTGACGCTTCTACTGTCGGTTTGTTCGAGTGTTCTACGCCTAGGTCCATCAATGATGAGGCTACCCTTTTGCCTGGTATTCAGTTTGAGTAAGGGAAGCGGAAATCAAAAAGGGCAAAAGGGCACTGCTGGGGAAGCTAGACACGGGATCTAGATTGTAGGGGTTGCGAGACCAGTTTGCAGAAGCTTAATGTGGGGGTCGGTTTAGGAATATAGGCTCTTTTAATGCGTCGGCTCCGGGGCTAATTCCGAATCTGACAAAAAAATTTGGGTGTTCTAATTAATGCGTTTTTTTTTTGGCTGGGGTGATTTTTTGGTGGCGGGGCTGTGCTATTTGCTGATGGTCAATCTTAAGGCAGCCACGACCTAAACCCCCACCCAAACCCCCACCCAACCCTAAAACCCTGGCCCTGAAGCCCGAAAATCTCTTGCAGAATTGTTTCGCTTATTGGGGCGTCAGGAATGAAAATCTGTACTACTACTGTACTACTACTGTACTACTATTCTACTATACCTTGATTATTGGGGGGGGCTGCTAGGGTGAACCGCCGAATCGGGGATTGGACCCTAGCTCAAAAGAGGCCTCTCCAGTACTAAAGTTTGTATAAAAAATTAAGTTTTGGGTCGAATCTGGACCGACCCCCCTTTGGAAGGGTTTAGGGCTTAGGGTTCAGGGTTTGTTATAGGGTTTAGGAGTGTAGGATTCTTTAGGGTTTAGGGTTCGGGGTTTAGGGTTTCAGGCGCTGGCTTTATGCTTTGCTTATTGGGGGAATGTACTCACTGGCTTTATGCTTTGCTTATTGGTACTATTTCTGTACTATTACTGTATTACTACTGTACTACTGTACTACTGTGGTACTACTACTGTACTACTAGTGTACTACTGTACTACTATTGTACTACTACTGTACGACTACTGTACTACTATTGTACTACTACTGTACTGTTATCGTACTACTACTGTACTACTATTGTACTACCACTGTACTACTGTTGTATTACTATTGTACTACTGCACTATTATTGTACTACTACTGTACTACTACTGTACTATTATTGTACTACGGTACTATAATCGTACTACTGCTGTACTACCACTGTACTACTATTGTGCTACTATTGTACCTTGATTATTGGGGGGGCTGCTAGGGTGAACCGCCGAATCGGGGATTGGACCCTAGCTCAAAAGAGGCCTCTCCAGTACTAAAGTTTGTATAAAAAATTAAGTTTTGGGTCGAATCTGGACCGACCCCCCTTTGGAAGGGTTTAGGGCTTAGGGTTCAGGGTTTGTTATAGGGTTTAGGAGTGTAGGATTCTTTAGGGTTTAGGGTTCGGGGTTTAAGGTTTCAGGCGCTGGCTTTATGCTTTGCTTATTGGGGGAATGTACTCACTGGCTTTATGCTTTGCTTATTGGTACTATTTCTGTACTATTACTGTATTACTACTGTACTACTGTACTACTGTGGTACTACTACTGTACTACTAGTGTACTACTGTACTACTATTGTACTACTACTGTACGATTACTGTACTACTATTGTACTACTGTACTGTTATCGTACTACTACTGTACTACTATTGTACTACCACTGTACTACTGTTGTATTACTATTGTACTACTGCACTATTATTGTACTACTACTGTACTACTACTGTACTATTATTGTACTACGGTACTATAATCGTACTACTGCTGTACTACTACTGTACTACTATTGTGCTACTATTGTACTACTGTATTATTATTGTACTAATACTGTACTACTATTGTACTACCACTGTACTACTGTTGTATTACTATTGTACTACTGCATTATTATTATACTACTACTGTACTACTACTGTACTACTATTCTACTATACCTTGATTATTGGGGGGGGCTGCTAGGGTGAACCGCCGAATCGGGGATTGGACCCTAGCTCAAAAGAGGCCTCTCCAGTACTAAAGTTTGTATAAAAAATTAAGTTTTGGGTCGAATCTGGACCGACTCCCCTTTGGAAGGGTTTAGGGCTCAGGGTTTAGGGTTTGTTATAGGGTCTAGGAGTTTAGGATTCGTTAGGGTTTAGGGTTCAGGGTTTAGGGTTTCAAGCGCTGGCCCAGACCCCCCCGACCCCCGACCGCGCAGTCGCGCAGAACCGCAGACCCTGCACCCAAGCCAGCCCCCAAACCCCGGCACCTCCCAATTCCCTGCCACTCAGACCGACCGCTGACCCCTGTCCGGGGCTACCGGTTCCAAATTAAAGAGAATTTTTTTTTTGGTCGGGGGGGGGGGGTACCCCACTATTAATCCGACCGCCACATTATTCTAATACCCTAGACCCTAAACCCCTAAACCCCTAAACACTAAAGCCCTAAACCCTGAACCCTCAACCCTAAACCCCAAACCCTAACTGATGATTCAGGCCCGTGTATCTCCCATTCGCTATGGTAAACTACGGGTGTAATGCTTGGGGCTTATGGCGCAGGCGTCGTCCCGGAAACCAACGCCTGCCCCTGGAATCCTAGAAGCGGACTTGGCGACACCATGGGATCATGGTTTAGGGTTTTGGGATTATAGGAGTTATAAGGTTTAGGGATTAGGGCCTAGTACTATGGGATTAAAGGGTTTAGGGCCGTTGAGGGATTAGGTTGGGGTTTCAGGTGGGCCGGTACACCATAGCTGCACAGGGCCTTCACAAGTTCAAGCATTCTAAGATGGGTCAACTATGAGGCCAAAAAGTTGAAAAACAAAACCATTGGCTATCTAAGGTGCAGGCGAATGGGCTTCTAGGGAACAGAACAGACCGTGACGGCCCTAAGCCCTAACTCTGAGTCGTCAGCTCAACAATACAAGACCTGAAACCTCTGCATGTCGGGTATCATGGGGAACTAAAGGTTAACCTTTTGGTGATTATATTATAGGGATTATATAGGGGCTATACTACCCAAAAGGGTAAAGGTTACCTGCTCTACTACTAGGAAGCAACATCTCTCGGTTCTGGTTGTGGGCTGTGAGTTTGAGGTCTAGGCTCGAATTCCCCGATTCTGGTATTTTGGGCTTGGGGTTGGGGGTTTAAATTCGGTGGCCTCTGCCCCAAGAACCTGCAAAAAGCTGCAGGCTCAGGGCCGAGTTGCTGTTGTCTTGCTTTAGGGGAGAATTTTCTGTGACTTTTGGGGTGCAGGATTTACTGCGAATTTTGAAACTTTTTTTTGCGATCCAGGAAAAATCAATTAACTAGCTTTTCTTGGGTGCGCTCCTGAAAGGATCATGGGACTTAGTAACTAGGGTTATAATTAGGGTAACTGTACTTATAGCTACTTATAACCCCAATTAAGGTACTTATAACCTTACTTACTAAGTCCCATGATGCCCATTATAGAACCCCTAGAGATCCCTTTAAGGAGCCCTGTTATAGAACCCAAAAGTACCCTTATTAAAAGGAGCCCTAAACCTTACTCACTACGTGCCATGACCCTCCAAGTAGACCCTAAACCCCCTTATAGATCCCATTACAGGAACCCTTATAGATCCCTTTTAAAGGAACCCTAAACCCTGAACCTTACTTACTAAGTCCCATGATCCTCCAAGTATTTTCGGTGCCCAGCCCAGGCGAGGATCGAGAGATCTGGAGAATGGCGAAGCGATATGGCCGAAGAGGGCATGGCCGTCGTGGTGGTGGATGTAACGCCACTCCTTCCTAGGCACCAACACTTGGGGCTAAAGGCTTAAGGGTTTAAGGCTTGGGGCTTTCGCCTTAGGTAAGGGCTAAGGGCTAAAAGGCAACAACAGCGACCTTCGTCTTAAAGATGCTGTATTTCACCTTAACAAACCTTGTAATGCCCACGGGGCATTTACGAAGTAGCTTTACGAAGCGAGCAAAGCTCCAACAAAAAACCTCAGAACACGATAGGGGCCTTAATAATCAAAGCAAGGTTTTTCGGCCCACTACACTAGAATCATCATAAGCAACTCTCAAAATAGTACAGGTACCTATTAAGGCCCTCATATTACATCCTCCTGGTTTCACTTTGAAGATTTGCTCCACCAGGTCGGGCATATCCAGCATTCCCGGCGCATCCACCACGACCTGGGAATCCCACAAGAGAAGCCATAAACCAAGTCTAGCCTCTATGTGTGAGCCCTGAAACAAGTAGGTTCCGTGGGGCTTAGGCAAACCGTCTATCAGGCATCCTCCAAGCCTTAAGCCCCAAAGCTCTAAAGGAAACCACGTCTACTCTAACCATCAAGGCCCTTGTACTAAACCCCCATAATACCCCTTATAGTAATCCTGATAGACCCCTTTAAAAGGAGCCCTGTTCTAATTATTGTGCCCCCTACTCAAGGTCTTGAGCTCCGCATCCCCAACCCCAGCTTTGGGACATCATCCAATCGGCAGCATTACTGTTGATGGTATAAATCCTGCATTACCCATAATAAGGAATATACCATAATTGCCATAGTTTAGGGCCATTACGATAATGCAGGATTTATATCATCAACCGATTAGTACTCTGAGAGGCTCCTTTCAGGGCACCTTTAAGGGGTCCCTTAAGGGGGGGGCCCTACACAGAAACCCTTTGAGGAACTCGTAATACGGAACCGTCAACAGCCTCAGCATCCTAGCGGAGGCATCCTTCGATTTCGCTGAAAAGGGAACCCTCAACCCTCACAATCCTTACCTGTGACCCCAAACCCTATAGAAATAGTAGGTTATTACCCTTGAATTATAGGGTCTACCCCCTAGAACGGTAGGTTTTTGGATCCACAGGTAGTTCTTAGTAAGGAACCCTCAAGAGCCTGGTTATCCCACTCAGGCATCCTTGTAGTACCCTTGTGGGGCCCTTCAAAAAGGAACCCTTAAAAGAACCCTAAGCCCTAAACCCACGAATGGTACCCTAATTCAGAGAAGTACTCTTAGAGTACCCTTTATACAAAAGGACCCTCTGCGCTTATAGAAAGGACCCTCAAAAAATCCCAGCGGCAGCGTAGTCCATCTCGGTTGGACATTTGCTGCGCCCAGCACACTCACAGCGATCGCGGAGGACGCGCAAAGCTTGAAGCCACTCTTCTCGGTATCCTCAGTAGCTGGGTTCTATATGTTTTGGGTTTGGGGGTTTAGGGTTTCTTTGAAGCCACTCTACGCTGTATCCTCGGTAGCAGGGTTCTATAATGTTATTCTTCTGGTGGGAATGGGTTTTATGGGATTTTTATGAGGGTTTTAGTATTACCCTCGGTACCAAGGTCTAGGGCTTAGGCTTTGGGGCATACTGGTGTTCTATCCGGGTGTTCTTAGAAGGGTTTCATGGGTGTGTAAGGGATTTATCGTAATTTCTGTGGGCGTTACGATCCTCGCCAGCAGGGCTCTATATGGACTTTATGACAGAGGTCGCAGGTTTGTCGAATTGCGGCTTACACTGTTTCTGAGGGCCTTGTAGGGTCTTATACAGTCTTGTTGGAATACGATGCAGTAAACCGCACACCAAACCTCCCAACCTAAATCAGGCCTAGTAGTGTGAACCACTTGTCGATGATACACAAAGCAGAGCATCACATATCCGAAAACTGGTTCCAGCTAAAAGCTTTCTATGAAATGTTACCAGGATGTACCAAGGTTCCCCGGTTGGCAGGGCTGTGCATAGGGTTGCCGTAGCCCATGATCATGTAGTAGCGCTTGCCAAAGTATCTGCACGCCACAACCCACGTGGTCTAAGTACCATATAGTCTAACCTGTAGTGTATATGTATATATATATATATATATATATATATATATATATATACATACCCTTCTGGCCAACATGTCTACTATGTAGGTACACAGAGACCTTGGGGAGGTTGGGGGCTAACCAGTAGCACCAAACCCAGCTATGGCCTCTGAAGTCTTATAAGTGTAGGGCACCCTTTCAGAGCCACATGAAGGTCTTGGATTTTGAGGGTATGGGTCCTTGCCAGAGACACAAACAGATAAACATATACATACATATATACATACATATATATATATGTACACACACCTGTATGTATCTATACATCATACCTCTAGTGTGTATGTGTGTGGGTACATATATATATATATATAAACGAAGATAAGTGTAGCCTGTGGGTAACAAAAAAGGAATCCAAACCCTGCGCGGCCGAATGGTCTGTCGAATTTTCAAGGCTTCCCAGCTTTGCACGGGATCTGGACATTGACATGGGCTGAATCAGCCGACCAAAACATGTGAGCACGTTTGGATTTCCGCTTGTTTGGATTTCCGCTTTCTTGAAGGTCCTAGCTTGCTGTACTCCAACCTAGTATCGGTAACTATGTAGGCGCCTACATGTGCTGGCTGTCACAAGTGCAAATTCGGTACGCGGTTGGGCTCCGGCTTCTCACTTTGGCAGACTCATACTTTTGATGATATATATCTTGCATTACCATAATAAGGAAGATACCATATTTCCTATAGTCTAGGCACATTCAGGTAATGCAGGATTTATATCATCAACTGTAGTGAGCCTGGAAATTCCTGCTACCCATGGTCTGCCTACCTAGCTTTTGCTCAATTTCTGAACACATGGTCGATCTTCTTCGCTGTGGCTCCTTTGAGGTTAGCTAGATGCTTTCTGGGGATTGTTCTCGACAGGGGATACGAAGTAATCGAGTTATGTCAACAGGGCCAAGCAAGGTGCAGAGCCAACCGCTAAGCAACACACATCCGCACGTTTATGTAGGACTTCACTGCGTTTAGGCCTTTATATACCAGCTCCCGAGGATTTGAAGTTGCATGTCCTTTGCTGAAGATGGGATCCAAACAGACCCTCACCAAGCAAGCCACCGGAGCCCTCTGACTTTTACACCTCTGCCTCCAAGAGGCAAAATGCTGCTATCCTCAAACCTTCAGAACACCAAAACCCGCGGTACTGATACCGTAAAGTGCATAACCTCACGAAGCCAGCATGGAGGATGCCTCTCCAGCTCAAGAATGCACTGAATCTCCCCACCAATGCCTGTGCAGGAGCGTACTCTCGGGAGACTAGGGATCAATAAGCTCGACAACTTCAGGGGCCCTTCATAACTAGAACTAGGGTTTGGCGGCACATTACAGTATAACGATAACAACAACAGTCCCCTAAACCCTAAACCCCGTAACAACAGCAATCATGATGGTAAAACATGTGGGAGCCCTCCCTCGTATTCTCGGGCCTGGTGTTGTTAAGTACTCACCGGCCCTTCTATAACTGTAGGGCTGTAGGGGGTCCCAAAGGGTCCTAGGTACTACTATGGGAGATACTTGCCCAAATCATAATAGCAATTCCTATGGAAGAGACCCTACATTCTACTATATAGGTACATTGGACCCTTTGTGGATTTTGGGATCAGAGTGGATCAGAGATTTTGCAGCTTCAATTTGGCTGTAGCACTCTACTTCGAGGTGCTTGGGTAATGGTTTTTGCGTGTCGCTTTTTGTGTTATGGCTTAGTTTCTAGGGATCTTCATAGGGAATCGTTTGGATACTGCCCCCATACAGTAACAGTCCATAATAGGGCTACTATCAAGGGCCTAATATATCTATACTATGAATATTATCCAACTGTTACTGAGTGTGGGCAGTATCCAGGGAATCGTCTATGGCTCGGGAAGGTTCGAGGCATCAGCTCGAATGCTTTCGAGTTTGCGTGGACCCCAACTACATACAGTAGAAGCCTAAAAGTTGGAAACCCAATAGCCTCATTCCTTAAGACTCATATATAGGGAATCCCCGCACTATTTGGCCTTAATCCGGTTTCCAACTTTATGGGGTTCACTGTAGGCCTCGGGAGCTTTGGGCCAAACATATTCTAAATATACTACAGATAGCGACTAGTAGCACATATTAGCGCAGTAGTTCCGATCCCTATGTTATGCCCACTACTTCAATTTTCTTCAAGTCAGACCCATGATATAAAAAGGTACTCAATCTAAACTTGAAAACTTGTACAAGGACCCATTCTGTGCAAAGTTCACTCAGTTTGCTCACGTCAGACCCTTGAGACACTCGATTTTTCGACACAAGCCCCATCTGCCGCTTGGGCTGCGCCTAGCACGAGGTGCGTGTCATGGCCCAAATGAATGGACAGCACAACCGTCTCCCTCGGCTGAGAGAGTGCTGCTTAGACGACACAAAAGAAGGCACGGATTGCAAGTATATTACTACGGAAGCCTGACTGGATGCAGAAGTCCAAATGTAGAAATGCACGCAGCGGCCCCAAATTTGTCTTGCTGGTTGTACAAGTACAGTTGCAGCTGTGACATGTCCTTTGATAGAAATTCGGCGTTCGCGGCCCTCGAGCCCCCGGAAGTTAGTGCAAAATACGCAACCGACACCGCCGAGAAAAAGCAGTGGAAAGTCTCCTGAGAAGCCCATGTTTGCTACCGCTACGGAAAAGACTCCCTAAACCCCAAGGGCCTACGGCTCAAACAACTGATGATCCTGTCACGCGCTCTGGCTCAAATGCTTAAGACCTAAACCCCTGAACTGCAGAATTTTCATCCGGGGCAATGTAGGAACCTGATCAAGAAACCCCTGGGCCCATAGCCCCAAAATAATAGGGTTCATATAAGGAACCCGAATAAAGGCCCAAGCTTTCTTAAGCAGGTTCCTACATTCTCTCGTTATCTCCCCTCTATCCCCTACAGTTCCCCTATAGACCCCTTATACTATAATCCCCTTAGAGCCAGAATACAAACACTATTTCGAGTATTCTCTTGGGTCTTATATGAACGAAAATAACGAAAACCCTAAACCCTAAACCTTAAACCGTAAGGAGACTATAGTTTAAGGAACCCTAAGGTCTATTCCTCAATAAAGGGATACCCACTTCTTGGGCACCGGGGGAACCCAAGGCTCTTGAACAAAAAAACCCTCCACGCAGAACTCCGAACCCTAGGGCCCCCAAAAAAGCACAGAAGCAAAACTTAGGATAGGGATATCCCATATAAACCCCTCAGAAGAAAGCCCAATATGGTAGGGATATCCCGGTAAAATGCTTATTCTTATGTGCTTTTTGGGCCCCTCAAACCCTGAAACCTAAGCCCCGGAGGCCCCCACACGTAGTTTTAAGGGTTCCTTTAAGGGTCACTTCAAAGGGATCTATAGTGGCTCTAGAAGGGCATAGAGTTTAGGACTTTCTTGGAGGTTCATGTTCATGGGTAGTTATAAGGGGGTTATATAAGAAGGGTAACTATGCTTGTAATTCATGTTGGGAGACTTATTACCCTACTTGTAACTAACCAAAAGACTCCAAGTGAAAGTCCGGAATCCCAACAACCACAAGGATTCCTAGGTAACTATACCTACGTAGTAGAAGGTAGGCCTTCTATGGTAGGAGTTACCATTATGATTTGGGAAAGTATCCCCAGCATAGCAGTACCTGGGACCTTTGGAAACCATACTCCTTCTAGGAACTCATATAGGAGCCTTGCTTTTAACGAAACCTTTGAAGAACCCTACCTCACGTGATGGCTGAGAGGCTCTCGCTCGACCAGAGATGGCAGGCGGAAGCCGTAACTTGGCTTTCAAGATGTAAGGGTGTAGGGACTGGGAGTTTGAGGTTGATTTTTCTTGGTTTTTTTGGTGGGGTTTACGGGTTTGCGGCTTAGGGTCTTCGGGGGTTGAGGGGCTGAGGTCGGGGGTGTATGGTTCAGAGATATCGGGCTTGAGCCTAGCGTTAGCAGAGGGGGTTTCTTTGCGAGAGGGGAGCAAACAAAGCTCGTCTCGGAATCTTCATTCAAGGCCTTTTCAATTTCCTCGGATTCTTCATTCAGGGCTATTCAGGCGTAATGGTTGTAGTAAATAGTAGCAGTAACTGTACCAATACTATAATATTAACGCTAATACTGAAATAATACGAGTAGGAACAGGGCATTTGGGTTTGTGGAGTTGGGGTCGATTCTAATAAACTCTGCCCTAATTAAACCAAAAACCAGATTGAGACTCGATGCACCCTTCGCAACACCACGAGGCCTAAACTCATAAATCCTAGGAGCAACTTCCAGTCAGGACAATCCTTGGTGTGAGCATATTTTGGCGTTCATGATGATCGTCTATTTAGACGACTATGCAAATGAACAGGATAACAGTGAGGATGAGGTTAAAGATGAGGGATCTTTATAACAGTCTCATGGTTTCTTGCCTCTTGCACATCATCTGGTTTTAGGAGCAATCCATCATCCTGGACAACACCGGCCGTGCCAGGATTCAGCACCTAGGATACCCAGTAACCTAAGAATAAAAAGGCATCTCTTTTTGGTATTGGGTAACTTTATAAGGAACCTAGGACTACAAAAAGGGAATAAGGGTACTACTGGGCATCCTAGGGATTCAGCACCCAACCTGTCACAGCCATTAGTCCGAATCCATGCAGATCGGAGGCAATTGGGAGTTTCCGAAAAAGGGTTCCTTTAAAGGGTACCATAAGGGTTCCTTTCAGGGATCTATAAGGGTTCTAAAAGGGTTTAGGGTTTAAGGGTCCGTATGGGAGTTTCCGAAAATAGGGGACCCTAATATAGTACCCCAAATAGTACGATCCTTACTATAAGGACCCCAAAATAAGGTACCCCTATTTTCGGAAACCCCCAATTGCTTGCATGTACCAATGAAAAACTGTCATCATACGCAGCTCTCGAGCTGGCTAGAACCCAGAAATAAACGATAAGCACTAAACTCACATACATCAGCGGAAAGTCGTCAAAAGGTCTAGGCCTTAGACCTGATACGATACCTTCCGCAATGAACAACACAATCTTCACTGAAGGTCCTAAAACAAGAAGCACCCTAAACTCCAAATCCTAGACCCTCGGCCCTAAGCACGTGAACTTAGCATCCCAGAACTTACCTCTGGTTAGCAGGGAATGGAGGAATGGGGTGCAATTATAACTGCAGGGAATGGAGGAATGGGGTACAATTATAACTACTAGTACTACCATTCTTCCATTCCCTACTAACCAAAGGTAAGAGAACTCGTGTCCAGTGGGCTCGTGCTTCCGGCATGCGGAACTCGCCTCGGGGCATTCGGTGCTATTCAGCTAACGGCTTCAAAACTCTACGTGCTAGGTAGAAGAAGCCCTACTTGGAGGTTCATGGGCAGTCATAAACGGGTGAAAAGAAGGGTACTGAACTAAAAAACTCATATAAGGGACTGACAACCCTACTTATAACTACTCGTGAACCTCCAAGTATTATCGTTTAGGATCTTGGTCCTCGAGGTTTTGTAAGGTACGGGTCTGAGGCTTGCGCTCTAGTTCTAACGAAAGTGTATTCACAAAGGCCCTCCTCGAGAATGATCATGCTAACGTGGATGGCTTCAAGGGATGGGCCTAAAACGTAAGCGCCAAACATGATATTCGGTTTCCGGACTTATGCTGCAACTCGTGTATCTGGCCCTAAACTGCCTGAGTATTAAAGACGAAATGAACCCTTTAAGGATATAAGGATCATATGCTGTATTGGGATGCTCGCTTTAGGTCACCCTAACCCAGGTCCTCGGAACAAGTTTTCCTAATATTCAACAGTCACCAAAATTTTTCACACTTCTTAGGACTACTCTCTTTTGAACACAACAAACACTTGTCACCAATTGATACACTGTCTAGTTTTTGAGGCATCATCGGGTCGAGAATTCATGGCTCCCCGCGACGTGTCGTAAACAGGAAAGTCGTGAACACTCCCTTTGTCATGTAGTGTTCCGTGCGAAACGAAACCATCAAAGCCAAAAGAAGGATGACCAGGTATTGCTGCAAACCATAATAGCTAAGTAGGGGTAGGATTAGGGTAACTAGAAACGCTTTTGTTTTCAACAATGCTATGTAATAATAACAATAGCTATAGTAAACACGAATACCAAATTATTCGTAGTGTTGTTGCGACTCTGGTCGTTATCACATCTTAAAAATCGGGCCCCAAGTTACGGCACATATAACCTTACTTACTAGTTCACCTGGTCCTCCCAGTACTGGGGTAAACGAAGCCTTGAGCCGGAGTTTCAGAGTACGAATACAAAAACAAGACCCTACGTTAGAGAATACCCGTTCGGTGCATATTTGGAGCTGAGGGTTTATGGTTTGGGGTCATACTAGACTAAATCTACTATAACGGGGTACGAACGGGTTGATACTCACCTGTAAGCTTCACCTCGGTTGAACTCCGTGAACACTGACGAGCCGTTTTGGCAGACAATTTATACGGTAGAGGGGCCTAAGTTTCTCCGATACTACTGTTGATGATAGAAATCCTGCATGGCCTGAGCCTTAAGCCCTGAGCCGTAACACCCCAAGGCCCCAAGTCCAAGCCCTCAACCCAAACCCTACGGTTGATGATAAAAAACCTGCATTACCCATAATAAGGAATATACCATAATTCCCATGGTTTAGGGTCCTTAAGGTAATGCAGGATATATATCATCACCCGTATTCCTTACGGCTCCTGATTTAAGTCTGTATTCAACTGGAAACCACTGCTCCCCCCGCATGGAAACAGGTTTGAAGGCCAATTAACTGGCCGCCTTCATCCTCCGTTTTATCGCTTCCGGTTTCATCGGGTTTGCTGCCACCCCTTTACTATAGGGGCCTTAATAATGTCAATAGGGTTTGGAGGCTCATTAGACTATAAATAGAATAAGGAACCCCCAAAATAGTAATGATGATAATGATTAAGGCCCTACATTACCTTTTACAAACGTGCTGCAAAGGGACCGAGTCTTTGGCTTCGTGCCGCTCCTCCCACACACGAAAGCGGGCGTTGCGATGCGTCATCGCAGATGCGTTTCGAAAGGTGCCTCGGGCAGGGGCTTTTGGATTTCGTTAGCTGTTCTGGCACTGCACCCCAACACCCTGAACCCTAGACCCTAGACGCCAGACCCTAAACCCAGACCCTGAACCCTATATAGACCCTAGACTCTAGACCCTAAACCCTAAACCCTGGACCCTAAACCCTATACACTATCAGCCCCTAAACCCTGAACCCTGAACCCTAAAGGTAATTTAGAGAACTCTCCATAAAGGGTTTTTTGATAAAAAAACCCTCTATGAACCCTAAACCCTACAGCTGATTTAGATGGAGGGAGCTTTACATAAAACCCGAAAGCCCGAAACCCTACTTAGAGGTCCATGGGTAATTATAAGTAGGGTTAGAAGTGTATACATATATAGGTGGGGTAACCATAATGATAACCCATACCAGCGGACTTATAACCCCACTTATAACTATCCATGAACCTCCAAGAAACCCCCTACAAAAGCCCGAAATTGGTTTGAAGCGTCTACCGGTGTCATAATTATGAGGCCTCCAACTCGGGGGCCTCAAAAGGTAGAGTGAAGGTAGGTGGGACATTCCCAAATAAGAGTCCTTATATAAGGGATCCTTAATCCCACCTACCTTCATATTCATCCCACCTTATGAGGCCTCCAACCTGGGAACCTCGAGGTACGCCAGGGGCTTCAGAAAGGATCCAAAGAGTAGAATCCAGGAAGGGCTTTCGGGGTTCAGGGCGTCAGGGTGGGCTGCACGGCTTTCGGGTTTAGGATTCACTTGGAGGGTCATGGGCCTTAGTAAGTAAGGCTATGAGGACCTTAATTGGGGTTCTAAGGAGTTATATGATAAAGTTATAAGTATAGTTATCCTAATTATAACCCTAGTTACTAAGTCCCATGATCCTTTAAGTAGACCCTGAACCCGAACCCCTATAGCCTATAGATGCCTTTAATGGAGCCCTTTAAGGAGCCCTTTAAGAACCCTAGTTACTACGTCCCATGATCCTTTAAGTACACCCTAAACCCTAAACCCCATAGATCATTATAGAACCCTATAGTACCCTTATTAAAAGGATCCTCCAAGTAGGCTTCTCCCAAAATCCAAACCCGAAACTTCCCGGCCTGAGCCTTAAACCCTCAAGCGTAACACCCGAAGCTCCCAAGCCCAACCCCTGAACCCAAACCCTAACACTAAGGCTCCAAGGACTCATATTTTAAGGCTTTTGGGCCTAGAGACCATATTATATTAGGCTTTTGGGCCATTTTGAGCCTTAGGGTAACACCTACCCTACGGTTGATGATACAAATCCTCATTACCCACAATAAGGAATATACCATAATTCCTGAAGGTAATGCAGGATTTATATCATCAACCGTAACACCCTACATAACCCCTGCCCCAAACTACCCAACCCGAAACCCTCAACCCCCAAAACCCCCAAAAACCCCAAACCCCAAACTAAACCCCGGGCCACCGAGGGTCCTAAGGCATGTCTTCCCGCGCTTGTGATGCTGCCGAGCCGGAGGGAATCACCATAGCTCCTGAGGAGCTTAGATCTACACAGCTTTTGGTAGGGAGTCCTATAGGGGAACCGTTTCGGGGGGTTCCTTTAAGGGCTACTTGGAGGTTCATGGGTAGGTTATAAGTAGGGTTATACGTCCCCTAATATGAAGGGTAGCCTACTTATAACCCCACTTACAATTATCCATGAACCTCCAAGTAGTTTAAGGGAACCCTTAAGGGTTTCCTTTTTGGGAACCCTTAAGGGTTCTCTGTTTGGGCTTTAGACAGCGGGGGCCACAGTCAGAGTATGCCTTGCGGGGTGTGTTTGGTGTTATGAATATTTCTGCTTAGGTTATAGGCTGGGCTTGGGACACGGACCTAAGCGTAAACTTGCAGAGTGTATTTTCAAGCTGAAAGAAATGTGGGACTGCCTGCTGGGCTTTTCGGTCATACAAGCCATCTTGGCTTCAAGCGTAAACACTCACAGCACGCTCATAACGGCCTTGTGGACCGGATAAAGCCCTCTACTTTGAGGGTATCAGTTTTAACTTACAGAGGGTTGAAACCCTTGCTGCACCCTGCAGCTCAAACTTCCTGCCTGCTGCAGCAAATTATCGGGATAATCAGAATACGAGCTTTGGCTTCGTCAACAACCGGTGGACCAACATATATACGGCCCACAAGTTTAAGGCTCTCCCATTCGCTACCTAAGAGAGAAAGGGGTTTACTATCGAGTCCGTGGGATCACTCCAAGAGAAGTGCAACGAGTCCGGATGCTCCTGGTGATGGGCCCACAGGTGTTCCTGAGACGTGGCACGGCTTCTACAGGCTACCCGAACCAATCCCTAAAGACGAAGTGAACACTAAAAGGGCTTAAGATTCATATACCATATAAGGACTCATAGTATCAGGACCAAAGGACCCGTAAAAGGGCTTAAGGTCCATAGCATCTGGACGAAACGAGCCCTAAAGAAAGCTTAAGGCTCATATACCATATAAGGACTCACTATACAGCACCTAGAACCCTAGCAACAATTGTAATTTTAGCTGTTTCTTAGGGATTATAATCACCAAAAATAAAAAATTATTTCGAAGTACCCCTAAGTTATCAGGCATCCAAAAATTGAAAATGAATATCTAAGTACCCCAGTTATCAGGCATGGGGCCCCCTTTCTTGAGGCTCACTTGCTACCTAGGGCTTGGGTCGATCGCCTCAGCGGGCTCCGGTAAAAGACAAGTTAAAGGCATCTAATACCCTAAGGGATAATACCCTACTAAACCCTAAACCCTAAACCCCAAACCCTAAACCCTAAACCCTGAACCGCATGTACCCATATAGCATATACTTTGGGCCGAATGTACCTGTATAGGGAGTACTTTAAGGCCAATGTATAGAACATATGAGTACATGGACCCTTAGGGATACTTCTATGGCATATAGGGCTTAGGATTCGAAGTCAAAGGTACGTAGCAGCTCCTATGGCAACCTACACGAAAATCCATAACGAGAAGTTAGTCTAGGGCCTATAGGGCTTCTAGGATTTCAAGTTTATCCTAAGTTAAGCTGCATAATATCGTTAGGGGTACCTTATTTTGGAGTCCTTATAATAAGGATCCTAGTATTTAAGTTTATAATAAGGTATTGTATTAGGGTCCCCTATTAAGTTAAGCTGCATAATATCGTCTTGGGTGTCTATAGCAATGAAAAACCTAGATCCTAAACGCTCAAACCCTCGACCCTGTAATCCTAAAGCATCCCAGTCCAGCCGACATGGGAGTTTCCGAAAATTCAGGGTACCTAATTTTGGGGTCCTCATAGACATTCCTGCAATCCAATCGGGTCCCAAGTACATATGTGGGAGTTTCCGAACATAGGGGACCCTAATACAATACCCTAAATACTGGGATCCTTATTATAAGGACTCCAAAATAAGGTACCCCTAATTTTCGGAAGCTCCCGTGTAGTAGCTCTCTATGGTAGAATTGCTACTTGTCTATCTCTTCAGGCCGCTGTTTCATAGAACCCTGGAAGAACGCCATAGAGAAACCCTGTTCTATTCATTCATACCTGCATATTCTGTAATTACCTATACTGAACTTTGAACCCTAGCAAAAATTAAAAATTTAGCTGTTTCTTAGGGGTTATAATAACCAAAGATTAAAAATATTTCTGAGTACCACTAAGTACCCCAAAGTTACATGTAAGGACAAGTCACATTCGCGAGGAAGCAGGCGGTGGCACCAAGAGAAGGCAACTTGGCTTGTTCTTCTGTTGATGATATAAACCCTGCTTTACCTTAAGGACCCTAAACTATGGGAATTATGGTATATTCCTTGTAATGGGTCATGCAGGATTTATATCATCCACCGTTGCAAGGGCTTTATGCAGTACTTGGAAGGGCAGGGGACTTAGTATGTAGGTTATACGTAGAGTTATAAGTACCCTAAATAGAGTTACCCCAATTATAACCCAAGCCAGAAAGTTGGAATATGATTATCCTAACCCTTCTATGGAAAATTATAAGGTATCCTACCATGAAACCATATTCCAACTTTCTGGAGTTCCCTGTATACAGTAGAAGCCTAAAAGTTGGAAACCCAATAGCCTCAATCCTTAAGAGTAATGTATAGGGAATCCCAGTTCTATTTGGCCTTAATCCGGTTTCCAACTTTATGGGGTTTACTGTAGGCGGTTTAGGGTTTAGGGTTAAGGGTTTGGGGCTTAGGGTTTAGGGATTTATAGGGTCTATAGGGCTTGGCAGGGGGCATGGTGGCTTTGGTTTTAGGGTTTGGGGCTGGCAGGAGTTTAGGCTTTGAGCGAAGGGGCATTGAGGCTTTGAGATTCAAAGGCTTTTGGGCTTTGCGGGATTTGTTTCCTAGAGGCTTTAGAATTTTTTGGATATTTAGCGTTTCCGGGATTCTCGCTGCGTTAAAAAGCATAGGTTTCGTTACCCTAATTATGACGCTAGTTACTAAGTCCCATGATCCTTCAAGTATGATCCCCCAACTAACTCCCCTGAGGCACGGAAGCAGAGCTCAGGGCGTCCATGACTTGGGAGTTTCCGAAAATCGGGGTACCTTATTTTGGGGTCCTGATAATAAGGATCCTGCTATTTAGGCTACGATACTACTATTTGCTTAAGAACCCACCAAAAAATAAAAAAAAATAATCCCTATATTACCCCCATAAGGAATATATTTTTTGTTTTTTGGGGGTTCTTAAGCAAATAGTAGTATATTGCGGTCCCCTATTTTCGAAAACTCCCATGTGTCTCCCTTGCTGATCAGCGCAGAGTTCGTTTGCGAATGAGGCTGCGGGGTCACTCAAGCCCTGAACCCCAAGCTCTACGCCAAGTTTAGGGGTTTAGGGGTTCTATGTTAAGGGGTTGTAAGGCTTAGGGGTTTTAAGTTTTAAGCCTAAGCCTTTGGCTTTTTCAGAACAGTGACATCGCCCAAAGCAGTATCCAGCGGGCCATGTCAGCGGCAGGAGTCGTGCAGCCGCGAGAAGCGTCCGGACTAGTTTTGTGTTCGTAGATCTGCTATGGCGCAGCAGTTGGCTAAGCTTTGGCTTCTACGGACAGCTCTTGGGTTAAATGGTAATCCCTACTGTAGAAACCCTACATTCTACTATACATGTACATAGGACCCTTTGGGTTTGGGGTTTGTAGTTTGCGGGTTCAACTTTGCATTCAGGGATTACAGTGCTGCGGGCTCCAGCAGCAAGTTGTGGGGATTGGACCTAGTACCGGCCCGGCTGCGTGAAGCATCGGGTTTAGGGCATAGTAAGCTTTAGGGTTCTAGGGTTCTGTTTTCAGGCTTTAGGATTTTAAGGTCTTCGGGCCTTGGGGTTTAAGGGTTTAGGCTTCGGGGCTTAGCGGTTTTGGGTCATGCTTGGGCTCCGTAGGTTCTCTAAAAAAGGGGGGGTTGTGCATGGTGCCCTTGCCGAGCACAAGGATCAGCAGGGCCGTCGAGACTCTCGTGAGAAGTCGTGTTGCAATCTTGCTCAACACCCGATAATCGATAATCAATCCCTCAACCCGAGACCCTAATTCGCGGCACTGGGTACTACGGTTGATGATATAAATCCTGCATTACCCATGATAAGGAATATACCATAACTCCCATAGTTTAGGGTCCTTAAAGTAGTGCAGGATATATATCATAAACCGTAGTATGTTTTGAGTTTCGGGCCAACCCAGACAAACAACTCAGAAGTCCCCACGTTTGGTACCCGATACGAGCACGAGGGAAACTTGAAAACCAGAAACCCTACCGTAACCTACCAAACCCTATTTTTTTGGAGGTTCTTATGATAAACCCTAATAGGGAATTTATAGGGACCCTACTTTTTTGTAGGTTTTGGTACGTTAAGGTACATCCTAAACTCTAAACGGCCCTAGACCCTAAACCCCGAACGCGAAACCCTAAACCCACAAACCACCTCAGCGATTCCTCCCGGCAGCCTTTCCAGAGGTTCGTACCACTCCTGCGAATTTACCAAATACCCCAAAACTCTCCTCTGGCCCTAAACCCTAAACACTCTCCTCTGGCTGTTGAAACGCATGAATTTAAGGATGCCTCGACCCGAGACTCTAAATCCTAAACCCTCTATAGACTCTACCTTCACCCGGAGTAACCTACCTTTTTCAGGACTTCTATAAGGCAATCATAATAAGGAACCCTAAAAAGGGTAGGTACTCAGGGTTACGATAAACCTTAAGCCCCAAAACTTCAGGATGCCAGCTCGTCCCCAATTGGGCTGCCGTTCGAACTGGGGGGGCGCGGAAATCGAGTATAGTTTCCAGAGTTTAGAGCCCAAGGTTTCTGTAATGCTGAAGACGCAGACGATGCGAAGCAGGGTCTCAAGTACCTATGTTGCTAAGACCCTGGAACTCTCGGGCTTTGAGTGTAGTCCTAGAGCCTAAAGACAGAACCCAGGGGCTTTGAACTGGACTCCTGCGACTCGACGCCGTTTGAGAGGAAGACACCAAACCAACAGGGCAAGAAAATACCACTTCGCAACTTTGCTAGACATGGCAAAGCCTGCATCGGCTAAAGCGCCAAGGGAAACCGCCGAATATGGAAGTTAAAAGGGCCCGGTGCGTCTGCATACTAAACGAAGAGAGGCCACTGCACGCCCTTTTGCAGGCCAACACGAGCCCGGATGTCTTTCTGTGCATGCACGATGGTCTCTCTGCGATTGCAACATTATTGTTGCAATGTGCGCAACAAGAAGCTACGATGCAACATCTAACTCCCCAAACTAACAACCATCTGCAACTCATCATCCGCCTAAATGCTAAACCCTGCCACACAGCACTGCGAGACCGAGAACATTGCGGCCTTGATCATCAGAGCAGGGCTTCGGGGGCATGTACGACTACTTTTATCCCCAAACAGTATGGGTAATTATCTAGGCTCCTATACTAGAATCCTAAACGCCATCACTCCCATTCGGAAGAGCTGCGAGGCTTTAGATGACGGTGCAGTTGCCTGGGCCATGAGCAGGTCAGCATGTGCTTACCTGAAGGACCAAATGACCCTGAAAAGTAGGGGGCCTATACCCATATACTATGAACCCCTATATGGTATATGAACATTAAACCCTTTTAGGGTTGATTTCGTCCTTAAGGTATGGGTCTAGCCAGGTCTTAGGCTTGTAAGGCTTAGGGTTTGCGGCTCGAGTTTAGGGTTTAGGGTACACCAGGTCCCCTCAAGTGCCCTTTAATAGAGCCCTTATGAATCGTAAGTACTTAGAGCATATTAGAGGTTAGTTGCGGGGTCTAGGTAGCACAGTTACCTTAATTGGCTTTGTTTTTGGTCGGGGGGCTTTCTAGGGTGCTGCGGGCTTTATACTGCGATCTTCAGAAACCAAAAGGTTTGGGGTATACAAGCTTGGCCATACCGGGATGCCACTACCACACACGTGGGATGACAGGTTATAACAATAGTTATTTCATGCTCTAGGGACGCATTTATGAATCAGTCGAATTGAGGGCTTAGGGTTTGAAGATCAGTATCAAAACTTTGTGTTTCGGACGGAATTTATATAGTAATTACAACTTATTTATGTGTGAGCACTATAGATACGATTGCTACTTATCCAGACCTCCATTTTGGCCATATGCCGCTGGATACACACGGCCGCTTGCGTCGCTTAGGCGCTGAAGTCGCAAAAAAAGTGCTTTCTCAGATGATATAGGGGCCTTAATAACTAGAATAGGTTGTTGGGGTATATACTAAAGCATTGATAAGGAACCTCTAAAAGTAGAGTTTATTAATTCCCGTACATTAAATCGCCGGGGCCAGCTTCCAAAATCAGTGGGTTCTTGTTGAGGGATTTAACTTAGGTTACCATAATCAGGAAACCAACCCCTTAAAGCCCTCTCAACTTGCAGAAAGAGCTCCTGAGAGTAATGGGGCCCTGAATGTAGATCCTCAGTCGCAAATCCTGACCTTCAAAGCTTTGTCCCCCCCGAATTGCCCAAACGACTAGATCGTTCCTGGATCTCAGAACACTGTAACATCATGGACTTGCATCATATAGGGCAACTTCTTCCAGGCCCTTGTGGGTGTCATATAGGGTGGAGCCCTAGATTTATGAAGGTCTTGGAGTGGATCTTGGAGTGTATGATAATTCAGTTTGTTTCGCACGAGGGTGACAACATTTTCAAGCCCCTGTATTCTGGGCAGTGTGAGCAAAGTACAAACTTTTATGTCATAACTAGCAAATCCTATTATGATTTGGGGAAGTATCCCCGTTAACAGTACCTGGGACTGGGTGCGGCCCTGTATGATAGGATTCCGTTCAGGTGTTCTTGCAAAGGCTACTTTAAGGGCTACTCTCCGAGCTCGTTTACGGGGTCGTTCCCAAAGGGTCCAAGTAATGACTAAGTAATGGTATAGTACATACTTTCGGGGCTCACATACACGGTACCTAGAAATGGTACTTGGACGCTTGGGGCTTCGGGGATTCTTACAGGTTCCGGGTTTCAAGATGTAGGCAACACCTTAACTCCCATAAACCTACCTTTCTAAGGACTTTATTTGAGGAAACAAAAATAAGGAGCTCTAAAAAGGTAGGTTATTTGGGGTCCAGGTAGGCTTGAGGGACTATTCAACATATCCCGAGGTGTCGATGTCAACAGTCCTCCTTTGTAATAAGGGAGCTCTATAAAATTAGATAAACGAAAGGGAAGTCAAAAATAACCCCACATGATACCTATTGATCCTGAGCTGCGTACTAGTCGAGGAGGCCAATCACTTGTCGACCTGTGACATTCAATAAGCTTCGGGCTTGGGATAAAAAAAAAACCTACCATCTAAATAGGGTCTGTATGAGGCAGTCATAATAAGGAGCATGGAGGTTTACCCCACATCCTGACCCCAGCAGCCAAGACCTTCAAAAACGAATCACCCTCAGCGCCAAACCCTGGCATTCATAAGCCTCAATTACGAACTGCTCAATAGAGTTTGCTAACATTATTGCTATGTTGATCTATGCACGGCTTAGTGTATTGTCACTACTGGTGGTATTCAAAGCCCCTGACTCATGAGCCTCACTCCGTTGTTTACGGGATGCTTATACATATATATATATATACATATATATATATATATTTATATTTATTTATTTATAGATAGAAGAGAGAGACAGAAAGAAAGAGAGAGACAGAGAGAAAGACAGAGAGAGGGAGAGGGAGATAGGGGCCTGGCGATTACTAAAAACCAATGGTCGACATCGTTTGTTTTGTTGGTTCTTTTTTGGCGCAGGGTTGGGTTCCGAAATTTATGCTTTGAGATTCAACATGGTTTCGAGGGTAACCTGACATCCTCATCCTCATCCTCATGCTCATCCTCGTGCTCATCCTCGTGCTCATCATCATCACTATCACCGTCGCAACCACTATCTGCATCACCATCATCCTCTGCGTCATGGAGTCTCCTCCCGGGTAGCAGCATTAGTCTTCTTCCCGCCCATTGCTACCAGACCTATGAACCCAATGCTGTAGCCAAAGGTAAAAGGAGGGACCCTTAATAAGGACCCCTAGGTATATACCCTTAATATAGCTATTATATACCCATCTAGGATACCCAATAACCTAGGAATAAAAAGGCCTCTCGTTTTGGTATTGGGTAACTTTATAAGGAACCTAGGACTAGAAAAAGGGAATAAGGGTACTACTGGGCATCCTAGCCATTATATAGCCCATTACAGGGTAGGGGTCCCCATTAAGCGTCCTTCCTTTTCCCCTTTGACTGTTGAACCCTTGGGGATCTTTGGTGGAACGCAGTGGTAAAGAATGGAAGACCCCGGCTGCGGAGCCGGCAACGGCAAAACCCTCGTCTTAGGGTTTAGGGTTTATAGGGTTTAGCCCCCAAAAACAAAACCGCATACACCACCCATTGTACCTTACAGCACACAAGGACTTTAGACAAAGAAACCTGGGTGAAGGACAAAAACCAAAATCAGTAGGCGAAAACACGTATTTGATTCAGTTCAAATCAACACCAAAACCTTTTCAACGACAAGACAGAGAGGGCCTTGGGCCACTCTTTCAGGGGCAGCTCGCCGCAGTCAGCGATGACCACCTCGCACGCGGCTTTGGGGCCTCTAGATCTTTTGGCTTTGGTGTTGAGCCTATGGGATATATGTATAGTTAAGATGTAGGCTCTATAGGATGCTGTCACCATACGCTTACCACGCCTGTAGCCGGCAATTGTCAGCCTCCATCAAAACCCCTAAACAAAACGAAGCGCAAAAACCTCTGAACACAAGTGGGGGTCGCGTAATATTATGGGGATCCCTTTGTGTGGACGAGTCCCTATGTCCGAACCCTGGCGGTTGTACTACTAAGACCCAGAAAAAAACCACCAATGATACTTTGAGGACCTGAAGATTTGAAACACTCATAAATATTGGACGAGTCGGCTGTAACTGATAACCGTATACAATGCCCTGTGTATTTTTGAGGAACCCCTTATGGCCTTGTCAAACCCTCTAACAGGGGAGCCTCAATAAATGGAATCGCGTTTCGGGGTACAATTTAGTATACACAGACTACGGAAGCCGAATAAGGAATGCTGTTGGTAACTATTTGTGAAAATCCCAAAGTTCTGCTTCAGAACTCCCACGTGCCTTCTTGGAGGTCGAACCGCTACCTTGGCTTTAAACGTGCTTGATACCTGCTTCATACGCTTGTTTAGAATTGATATCTGTTTTCGCAGTGTACTGGAGGTCATAAGAAGCTCATAAAGTTGCGTTTAACCAAAAAATCACAGAATTCTGGAAGGGAAGGCTTCATGAGGTTGGTTTTTATAGATTCTTTTGAAATTATTCGGGTGACAAAGACCTGACAAGTTTGCTTGCACATAGGATAGATACGGCCTGGGTTGTTGTTTCAGGGTTCAGGTTTCGCGCAAAAGCATAACTGCGCGATTGGCTTGTCAACGCATGTCAAAGCTCACCAAAACCAGCGTTCTTGCTTATAGGACTGAAGGAATTTCATAAAACAGGGATCCCCATGTAGAACTGAACAATGGGATCCCGCCCAGAGCAGACCCCTAATTCCATGAAATCCCCATTCATAAGTATGGTCAGATACCAGAGCCGACGCCTTCGACTTTCTTCACCTCAGATTGCACCGGTGCGAAATAAAAGGCAGGCTCTTGGGGATGGGGCTGATCGGTTCAACCCTATGTAAACCTTGCCAAAAGTTTAAGGCAAGCTTGAAATAAACCACCGAACCCAAACCTTACACGGCTGTTAAAATCTTCGGGCCAAAGCCCGCAAAGTATCAGCCTTTCGGATGCTGAGGTCAGGATATAGATTGAAAATTTCGAACCGCTTTCTAGTATATCTTAGTTTAAATATTACAATACTATATAGGGACCGTAATAGCTTATAACCGTTTTCCCTTATCGTCGTGTCATACGAAACCCTAGGCTAAATCCCTGATAGCTGCAAGGTTACGAAATAGAAAAACGAGTGTAAAATGTCTATCTTGGTATCCCTCTCTTGCTTCAAAGGACGAGCATGTCTGCTTTGTGCAACCTTGATTTTTGTGCCCGCCCGTCAGCTCAAAAAAACCACGAATGACACTTCCATTACCACTGTTGCACGCAAAACCATCTCCAGGCTTTGCAGGGCGGCATACCAATCTGATTCCAGCTGTTGAAGCCACTTCGTTTAGATGCTGCGCTGTCACATACAAACTGCGCATGCTGTGTTTTGTGAGCGCACTCATCTTTTTAACGCGAAAAATGCGATGGTTTACGACAACTTCAATGTCCGGAGGCGTGTCCACAGTCAAGTCCTTCATCTGATACAACAGGTGCACGACATTACACAAAATGCCAAACCCAGAGGACGTTCGCTCTATGGCCCATTCGCCGACTTGAAAACGGATGTTGACTGGCGTCGCTGTGAAATTTCTTCGTGGGCAAGGGAGACTGGGTAAACTCCTGCCATGAGCATGAACAGAAAAATTCAAAGTTTTACTACACAGCGACTCCGTACAGTGGCTCTAGAAGCAAAGCCAGGCATAGAGTAGACAGGCATAGACAGACCGACAAACTTTCAAGATCCGCTGAGCCTAGCTGTTCACATAAATCCCCCGCATTACCTATGCACAAGCGGCACCGTACCGACAGAATTAACATTAAGCAAGCGCCAAATCGCAAGCTTTGCCTTCAACAAGTATCAGAAGACATTACTCCGAGTTTGCCTCCACCCACAACTAACATGTTCCGCAGCTTACCTGAAACAGAACCTTCGCACCACACATGCTTCGCAGAACAAGCGTGGCAGCACCGCTGTCGCTGACTTCGCACGAATGCTCAGCTTCTGGTCACAGAGGACTTGCGAATTTGGCTCCAGTTTGCGCTTGTTGGATCTCGTGACCTCCTAGGGATTCAAAATCTCAACAAACGTTCCATGAAAGCAGTCAATCTCGAAGTCGGTTGCAAACAATTTGCGAGTGTTGCAACAAGTCTGCACTTCTTCCTGTAACGGCTTAATTGTGCTGGAAAGGCACTATAGATCTTTAGGGGTACCTTGAAGCCAAACACGCCCCAAAGCCCCAAAAACTGAACTAAAGTGCATACCCTAAACCCTAGGCCCTAACCCTGATGCCATGTGGACAAACGGAGATTGACAGGCTGGTTACCAGGAGGCAGGGTGAGGACCGCCTGAACCCAGGGTATGCCAAAAACATGCACGACTTGGAGGATCATAGTAAGTAAGGTTATAAGTACCTTAATTGGGATATAAGTAGTTATAAGTATAGTTACCCTAATTATAACCCTAGTTACTAAGTCCCATGATCCTTTAAGCATAGGGGCCTTCGTAATCAGAACAGGGCTTGAGGGCATATTAAGGAACCCAGTTCCACGAACTAGCGAGGTCCAAGGTTACCACAGACCGACCTACATGGGGTTCAGGGCCATCACAAAGAAGCCCAAAGAACTAATGTAGGGGCCTGAATAATCAGAATAGGGTTTGGCGGGTATATTGAACTATCAATTATAGTGAGGAACCCCCAGAATAGTATAGGTAATGAGGTAATGACTGAGGCCTCTATATTACCCTATTCTAATCGTTGTGCGCCGCATCCTCTGATCCAGAACTCTGCGAATCTACACTTGGGCACTGAGGGGGTCCAAGTGGCAAATCAGTAATTACATGATATCGCAAGGTACTTTCGGGTATATGAGACACAAATATAAAAGTGATCCTATTACCTTACAGGTTTCCCCGATGCCTGTATCATACACTATTCGGCTAAACGAAAAACCCTAGGGCTCCAGTTGCTGAAATAGTAGTTTGCTGACCATGTATCCCCCCCCGTAACCTACTAACCCTAAAGGGAACTCCAGAAAGTTGCAATATGGATTAATGGTAGGATCCCCTATAATTTACCTTAAAGGGGTTACGATAATGATATTCCAACTTTCAGGGGCCTTAATAATTAGAATAGGGTGTTGGGGGAATATTTATACGATAGTCATAACCAGGGACCCCTCCCCCACAAGAGTATTGGCTATTTCTGAAGCTTCTACTTGGAGGATCATGGGACGTAGTAAGCAAGGTTATACGCACCTTAATTGGGGGTATAAGTAGTTATAAGTATAGTTACCCCCATTGTAACCCTAGTTACTAAGTCCCATGATCCTTTAAGTATTTTTCCCAATAGATGGGTTCTTGGAGCCCGTGGCTTGCTTGGATCTTGTTACTCTGCAAGGCGGCTATTGAGGGATGTTCAGGTTTGGCGAAGGCATTTACGGACTTAGGCGTCTAGCGTTGAGGATTTGGGGCAGGGGCTCCGGTTTCGCCACACCTTCTGGCTCTGTAATCTCGCGTATGAAGTAATGGCTTCCTTCTTGCACTCAACTGCAGCCCAAAGACAGCACTCATCGAAGTTGGCAAGTGCGAAATTCTGCCGAAGGGGTTGGAAGTTGGGAGGTTAAGAAAACAGCTGAGAAAGAAAACGGCACAAACGAATGCTGAGCAGGAGGATGATACCCCGAACATGGGACCCCTAGATATAGGATCTAGCCTCCAAGTCAGCTTTCCCGAGGACCTTATAAAGCTTACCTTTTCCAGAGTTCCTGATTGTAATATAGGGGCCTTAACAATTGATAAGAATAGGGTATTGGTGCCCAACATACTGTACTCATAATCAGGAACCCTCAAAATAGTATTGGTAATTATGTCGGCCCCTATATTAGTTTCGTTCTTTATGTCCTTAAACCAGGTATGTTGTATGGGGTTGAGGTACTCCCTATACTGAACTTAGAACCCTAGCAAAATTAAAATTTCAGCTGTTTCTTAGGGATCATACTAACCAAAAATTAAAAAATATTTCTAAGTACCCCTAAGCTCCATAGACCCAAACCCTAAACCCCTAAACCCTAAACCCCTAAACCCTAAACCCTAAACCCGTTTGGGCCTCTATACTCATGTGCCAAGCGACGATGTCGTATCCATCGACGACCTTTCCGAAGACCTGACTTGTCAAGTTTCCTAGGGTCAGCCGAGGCTGACCTGAAGGAATATATAGGGGTTAGAGTATCCCCAAACCCTACACCCAAAAACCCGAAACCCTTAAGCCCCTACAACCCCAAACCCCTAAAACCCTAGACTCTAAACCCGGATCCCGAAACCTATCATCTGTGAGGCTCACAGGTCGTGATGTGCTGGGATCTCTCGCGGGGCCCCGATCTGGAAAACCGACATTATACTGGTACAAGCTGTTTTATATATAACATACAGATACACTCATTACTAAATAACCAAGTGCACACATAGTTAGATAAAACCTATGAGCGTCTATATATATATATATATGTGTATATATATATATATATATAAATATACACTCACACGTATAAATACATTATAAATGTACGTGTATATGTGTACTTATATATATATACACATACATATACACGTACATATGATATGCGCAGCCAATCAACATATCTTGAATCTGGGTTCGGGGTTTGGTATCCCTAAAACGGGTGATAAATCGAGTCACGACATGCTTCCCGTCCAGGTGCGAGGTTTTCGTCGTACCTTGCGGACTCTCGGTAACCGGGGACTGGGTTTTAGGTTTCCGTTTGGAGTGTAAGGTCTGTTTAACGGTCTTTATAATCAGGACCTAGGAGTGAACGGGCTGAGGTTCAAGGGTCAGGGGTTTGGGTTAAGGCCAAGGGTCTTAGGGAGGAAGTGCAAGGGGAGTTTGTATTCCGAATACATAGCCGGATGGACGGTTCGAGTGTTGAGCACGCGCCAAACCCAAAGGGTCCTATGTACTGATATGGGGGATACTTCCCTGGATCATAATCATAATTCTCATATAGAAACCCTACATTCTACTATATAAGAACATAGGACCCTTTAGGAAAGAGTCCTAGGCTCTCTGAGCAGGCCACCAACCTTCTGTCCATCGTTCTCTGCACCGAATTGGCCCCCGGAGTTGGGACCGGGGCTCCGCTGACCCTTCTGCTACCTTGAACTGAGATAGAGTACCCTAAATAGTAGGATCCTTATGATAAGGACCCTGAAATAAGGTACCCCTAATTTACGGAAACTCCTATATGAAGCTCGAGCCCTCAACCCTAGCTTAAAACAATGTAAACAAGCGCATATACAACTTGCAACACCATGTAAACCGCAACTAAAACAATCTTTCAAAAGTCTTTTGAAGCTGCATCAGGAGCCTTTCTATAGCCCCCTAAACCCTGAAGCATAAACACTACCTGGACCCTGTAAAACCCAACATTCTAAGGCTCGTATTAAAGTTCCTTAAAGGGTAGGTTACTTGGGTTCTTCGGCTGATGGACAAAATCCTGCATTACCCATTAGAAGGAATATACCATAGTTCCCATAGTTTAGAGTCCTTAGGGTCATGCAGGATTTATATCATCAACCGTTTGTAAGCCCTGAACCCTAAACCCCCAGAGCCCCAGATCGAAACCCTACTTAAAGGATCATGGGACTTAGCAACTAGGGTTCCTTAACGGGTTCCTAAAATGGGATCCATAAGGGCTCAAAAAAAGAGGGGTTTTAGGGTTACTTAAAGGATCATGGGAGGGCCTTGCTAACTAGGATTATAATTAGGGTAACTATACTTATAACTACTTACAACCCCAATTAAGGTACTTATAACCTTACTTCCTAAGTCCAATGATCCTCCAAGTAATCTGCCCTCCGAGCAGCAGAGAAAGAACTGCGAGCCGTTGGTGTTAGGCCCTGCATTCCTCAGCTCGTTTTCGGAGGTTTAGGGTATAGGGCTAGGATACCCAGTAACCTAAGAATAACAAGGCCTCTCTTTTTGGTATTGGGTAACTTTATAAGGAACCTAGGACTACAAAAAGGGAATAAGGGTACTACTGGGCATCCTAGAAAAGGCTTCTCGAAGGATTTAGGGATTACATGAGGGTTCAGTGTAGCTACTTAAGTTTAGGGCTTCAGGGGTTTAGGATGTTGGGCGTAGGATTCCATAAGGGAAGCACCAGAAGGATTCCAAAACCTTAGGGCCCACTGTCTGTTGAAACATGAAATAATGGGGTCTTGGGGTTTCAAGCTTGGGAACAGGGTCCCTGCAAAAAAGGGGCTGGTCGCACCCAGACGTCAGGGTGTAGGAGTTGGGGTTTCGGGCCTAGGGTGGCAAAAACCTCTGGGCTTGGCTTAGCGTTTGAGTGGTTTGGGGCGTGGGCTTGATATGGTTGGTCTTGAAGCGCACTTCGCCGAGCCATTACTACTGCAGAGGCTAACACCTTCCAGGCGTCCCTGATTTCCGAATCGAAACAGGCTAAGGCTTCAGGATTTACTGGGCTCAGGGCTTTGGGGTTTAGGGCTTAGGGTTTCGGGATTACGGGGTGTAGGGCTTCGGACTTATGGGTCAAGTCTTGCTTGCACTTTCCTAAGTTTCGCTGCCATGTCGGGCTTGCGGTGAAGCCTATGTGGGAGTTTCCGAAAATTAGGGGTACCTTCTCTTGGAGTCCTTGTAAAAAGGATCCTACTATGTTTAGGGTACTACATTTGGCTCCCCTATGTCCGGAAACTCCCATTTCGTGGGCTCCATGGATGGGTTTGGGAGGAAGAAACGGTCTCCGATCTCTCAAAGGGGAGAAGGAGGGACCCTTAATGGGGACCCCTACCCCATCATGGGGCTATATAATGGGTATAGAATAGCTATATTCAGGGTATATATAGCTAGGGGTCCTTCTTAAGGGTCCGTCCTTTTACCCATGGAATCTCCTTACAACTATAGGGCTCAAGCTCTTTCGAGTGTTTCGAACTGGCAGGCTTTAGCACTTCCCCTTCTTCTTAAACTACTATTTGCTTAAGAAACCCCCAAAAAATGAAAATAATAATCCCTATATTACCACCATAAGGAATATATTTTTTATCTTTTGGGGGGGTTCTTAAGCAAATAGTAGTAAACAATCCAAGGGTATCCCCCATAACAGCACATAGGACCCTTGGGGACCCTGAATCTTGAATCAAAGGGGAAAAGGAGGGACCCCTAATAAGGACCCCTAGGTATATACCTTTAATATAGCTATTATATACCCATCATCTAGCCCATTCTGAGGTAGGGGTTCCCATTAAGGGTCCCTCTTTTCCCCCTTCAACAACCGGGTCCCAACAAGTCCAACACTTCTAAGGCAGACCAGACATACAAATTGGCCGAAACGTCTATAGTTCCCCCATTCGATATCTAAGTAACGTCAGTGGTGGATGAAACACAAGTCTGGAACATGAAGTAATTCCTACCACAGACACCCTAGGTTCGACTATTTCTGCACTTAGGACCCCTTTGGAATTCGGGCCTTAGGACATATGCTGGGTTTCAAGATTTCTGGGCCTAGGCTTCGTTGCCTCGATGTTTCGGATATGGGTCCTGAAGAATACATAACGTCTGCGGGTCTATTCGAAATGTACATTATAAGGAGCATTACGGAATAATATGTCATTAAAAATTCGGCTTCCATATTAGGTTGGTCATTGTAGTGCAGTGCCAGTGTCGCCATGGAGAGGACACCTTCGCCGGTATGCTCCAGAGAGAAATTCTCCTGGGCTGTCAGCCACCCGCACAACGTGGCTTCGTAGCATTTAGGCTGCAGGAGGTTAGGGTTTGGGATGGCGAGTGGTGCAAACGTTTGCAATTCCTGCTTTCCGAAACTAAATGAAGGCCAGACACCATGAAGACCACGGACCACGAACCCCAACCGCGCGCTCGCGATAGGATTGGCGTTTGCTGCTGGGGTGGAGTGAGTAGCTTCATGGGGTACAGTCTCGTATGACTTCACGGTAATGAAAACGGTGAGGGCTTGATTAGAGTATTTAGAGATACGCGGTATGCCCGATTCTGTCGCCAGATCCTTCACATATAGCCACTATCTCGCCAAAATCCGGCGCAGCAGTGGAATTAGCGGTTGGGTTGGAGGGGGTGGGGGCATTCCTTGCAATCTTAGGCTCCGCATTACTCCCCTAGTTTCTGACACTATTTTCTCCCAAGTCTTCTCGTCTTGCTTTGCTTTTCATCTTTCGATGAAATGCATTCATCCTCCCTTACTTGTCGATCTAGGTGTAAACATGTTCATGCATCTGTTTCGGTATCTACATCTGTGTATGTGAGCATAGATATGCATGCGCGCGTGTTCGTCTCTTTTCTGTGTCCATCTCCCTGCACGTGCCGGCCTAAGTTGCAGTCGTTACTTGACTATACTGTTATCTGTGCCAAGGGGAAACCCTAAGCCCTAAACCCAAACAAACTGTGACAACCTTAGCCTACGACATGTAGTGACGACCCATAACACCCGATTAAAGATATCCCTAAACCCTGAACCCTAAACCCTATAGCAAGCCATCAAATGGGTGATTGTCAAAACTAGGGTCCCTTTTTTATAATACGGCACCTAATATTTAGGGTACCCAAGAAGAGACCATAATTTTGACAACCACCCAAATGAAACACCACACTCCTCAAGTGCATTGCCGAGATTCATCCTCGAACTTCTCGCCATAGATGGACTTGCCGCCTGGCAAACGCAATCTTCAAAATCTTGGTGCTTATAGGGCTGCACAAGAGTTTCGCAGTGATTACGGGTTTCGAAGAAGCTTTATGCAGGCTTCGTGGCCCTAAACTCCTTAAAACCTAAAGGTTTGCAGCGCTAATGTAGGAGCCTTAATATTTAGAACAGGGTTCAGGGCTCCTTTATAGTACAGTTATGATAAGGAACCCTAAGGAATACTATTGGTGATGATTTAAGCATGTATCTTATGTGCAGTCTTCGACCTGCAAGAGCTTTAGCTTCGAGGCTTGTGGGTCGCTTTTGAGTGGCCCAAGAAGGACATAAGCATAAGAATTTTACAGGGATATACCCACCTTACTGTGCAAATTACCTGGGTGTTTATATGGGATCTTTCAAGTTTTGAAAGCGGGTCTTCGGGTGCTGCACGGTGCATTCAAGGGCTTAGGGCTTTAAGGGGTTCAGGGTTTAGGGTCTGGGGCTTTACGGTTTCGGGCTTATGGTCTTAGAAGGCTCCCAGCCCTACAGCCAGCCGGAAAGCAATGGGTATCTAGGGTCTGGCACAAGGTAGCCGGGGAGTCCGGGCATCACCCCTCATAAAAAAACAGCGAAATAGTGTACTCAAGACCTTACTAAGACACCTGATCCTAGGAAACCATAAACCGTTGTAGATCCCGTTCAGCAACCTTTCAGATTTCTCAAACCCCATGATTCTCCAAGTGGCTTCTTTTGGGAGGGCCTTGAAGGATCTCTCGGTGGTGTTGGCTTATTTATCCCAATCTGGACGATGACTGTACGAGAGCTATCCGGGCTCTCGTTAGGGATTGTGTATGTTATATTGATGTATGTAGTTATAGTACACTGTTCAAAGTTTCACACATGAGAGCATATACCTTCAAGACACGACACACATGCTTCATGATGCTTACCCATAGGCCCCAAAGTAGTTCATTTTTGGGATTCCCGTATAGGATTCTGAATTTGAACCCCCAAAAGGAACTAATTTGGGGCCTTAGGGTAGACTACCTGTACCTGAACTCACGAGTAGTTCCGGAAGGCACAACAAGCTGCGAGGCTGGCTGCAGCCCAAAATCTGCTGTGGATAGATGTTATCAGCGCAGGAAGTAGTAGTAGAGTACATTGCAACCAACGTACCGCGATGTCTTATAAAGGGAATACTATGATGTGCTACAGCTTGCTATAATAGATCATAGCAGACCATGATGTACCGTGATCTGGTATAACTCCTAAACTAGGATACCGAGTAACCTAGGAATAATAAAAAGGCCGCTCTTTTTGGTATTGGGTAACTTTATAAGGAACCTAGGACTAGAAAAAGGGAATAAGGGTACTACTGGGCATCCTAGTAAAAGGGCCTAACGAGCCCTCATACAGTCCAGCAGAGCAAACCTAAATCAGAGTCTCCCGTCTGCAAAGGAGGGCTGAAGGCTTCTCGAGCCTGCCTTAGTTCTTTGGCATTGGGGGCTGCTGGTGGTGGTATACTTAAAAGATCATGGGACTTAGTAACTAGGGCTATAATTAGGGTAACTATACTTATAACTACTTATAACCCCAATTCAGGTACTTATAATCTTACTTACGAAGTCCCATGATCCTCCAAGTAAGGCTTAAGATTCTTGCCTGTGGCTGTGAGGCAGCTTGGGCTCGAAGATGCCTTTAGGGTTCTGGGTATAGGCTTGCTGACCCACAATAACAATGCATGACGGTTTAGGGTATAGGGTTTAAGGTTTAGATAAGCCAAAACAAGCATGACGGTTTAGGGTTTAGGGTTTAAGGTTTAGGTAAGCCAAAACATGCATACTAGGTCACTCGGGAGTACCTACACACGGTGTTACAGAGTTCTAGCAGGTAGGAGCCCAGCTCGAACTCTAACACCCCCTTCCAGGGCCTGTCCCGTCGTGGTTAGTGAAGTCGCCACCTCTCCACCACTTGGAGGTTCATGGGGTAGTTATAAGTCGGGGTTATAGGGGTTCCTTTAAGGGATCCTGAAAGGATTCTATAGGGTTTAGAGTTGAGGGTAGTTGTAAGTGGGATTATAAGTAGGGTGACTATACTTATAACTCCTATTAGGGGGCTTATAACCCTACTTATAACTACCCATGAACCTCGAAGCATGCAGCAATGTTTGTAAACGTTCCAAGTGATGTGGGGGCCGACTGGTACCTCGAACCCCTACTCTAATTATGACGGCCCCTATACTAGGCGTCAACCAATACGGCATAGTATCATCACGAAGCCGGAAACAGTCGAACTAGCCCATGGAGCTACTTCGCACTCGGGGAAAGCCTTAACAAATGGAGTCGAAACCTTGCTTCATGAAGGGGCCTCAACAATTAACAAGAAGAAGTGTTGGGGTATATGATACTTTGGAAGTACAAGGGCCAAAAAGGGATGAGGAACCACTAGCTCTTCCGACTTTCTTGTTACTCCCACACCTCGGAATACATCCTTTGCATATGCAGTTTGTGCGAAAAGATTGCGGCCCGGAGCACATGTCGCTCAATCGCACAACCACTACTTCAGTACGGCTCGGACAATAGGCATTTGCACACCTGATCTACGATCTACGCCGAACCTACGTTATGAGAGTTCAATTGCATATGAAATCCTGGTGAGTCTAACTAACCAGTGGTTTTGGGGTTCCCTGGGCTCTTTAGCTCCTTATTCAATAGGGATTATCATCATCCCTGGCTCCTTAGCTCCTCCAATATCAAAGGTTAGCTAAGCCCTAAACCCTAAACCGCGCAAGATCTCCGAGCCTGCAACGCTGTAAACTCCCTTGCCCTCCATGGTATAAACGAACACATGTTCCAAGATATCAAACAAAGACAACACCTAAGAGCCTAGGATGTACTTGGAGGATCATGGGACTTAGTAAGGTTATAAGTACCTTAATTGGGGTTATACGTAATTTTTAAGTATAGTTACCCTGATTATAACCCTAGTGACTAAGTCCCATGATCCTTTAAGTAGACCCTAAACCCGCAACCCCAGATCCCACTTAAAAAACCCTATAGATCCCTTTTAAGGAGCCCTTTAAGAACCCTAGTTACTACGTCCCATGATCCTTTAAGTAGGGGTTTTGGGTCTAAGGAAAAGCTACGGCGCAGAACTCTGCAGCGAAAACCCGCGAGCCCTGTACTCTGAGCCCCCTGACATGTAAACCAACATAATGCTAGTTATTAGAATAGTTAGTAGTATTAGTATTGTTATTAGTATCAGTATTAGTAGTGTTATTATTAGTATTTTTATTATTGGTCCCCTTCAGGGTTTTCGCGTTAGGGGTTTCTTATAGGGACTCTTAGGGGGGTAAGGGGGTTATACAGTTAGCATATACTGTACCGTTTCCATGTTCCAACCATGCCCACCCCCCTGGCCACCTGAAGACCCAAACCATAACAACCTATGCCTCAACCCTAAACCCACCAACAAACCCCCAACCTAAGACCCACATGATGGAACTACCAGAAGACCAACACCAAGACCCACATAGAAAAACACAAACCTCAATCTCATAGACCCGCGCCCCCATAGAAAACCCATATTCCCTAGAAAATGGAAATGGCCATCTTAAATGGTTTTACAATAATAGGAATGAGGTTCAGGAATAAGATAGGACTAAGAAACAATAATAGTATTATTCCAACAAAAGTAGTACTATTAGTGGCTATTGTTTAAGACTGATAAGGTCGCCATATTCTTTCTCAGTGTCCTTACTACTTATGCTTATCCACTTGAGTTTTTGCATCTAAACATTTAGTGTCTTTGCTGCCTCCACGGTTACAAAGTATTTCGATATGTTCAACTAAGTCTGAATATTGCTTATTATTCTTTATCTTCCTGAATTTGACCTTCTGAAATAGAGATATCGCATCTAACAATCAACACATCTTGACTATCCAAAACATTTTCATGAACCTTGAGTAACTTTCTTATCTCTTCGATTTTACTCAGGTAACCTATTTCATTAAATTTTGTGTTCATATATATGAATACATATATATGTATATATATATATATATATATATATTTCTGACATATTTCACTTGCATTTATACGTATTTAAATTCGTACATTCCGTTTCCGCTTAATATACATATATATATATATATATAAAAAGTTGTTATTTCTGTAAATATTTTGTCTTTCAGACGCGGCTAGGCCGAAACAATACTCTAATGGTTGCATAGGGACTGCAGGGGATTTCTTCTCCTTCTTCCAAAATCACGAAACAAACTAATTAGACCATGACCACATTCTGTTGATGCGTTTATGGAAGCACACGGCGCACTGGCATGGGATCACTGGGCGAACTACGCAATACCCGTGCCTGATCGTAAGAATGGGTTTCGGTGTATATGACCTTATACCAAACTTATAGGGCAAGACTATTGGAAAGTACGTCGTCTTCTACAAGAGCCGAACAATCCCCCCCCCCCCCCACCTTGGCACATGAAGTCAGGAATCACCCGATGGAAGGTGCAGTCCTTCCGAAGTCGATCGCTGCAAATTGTGGCGGTGGGCGACTTTCACAAATCAAAATGGTAATTCATCATTCCTATTATAGAAACCCGACATTCCGGGAACCCCCAAGAACCCTATAATAGAGATTTCCATGGCCCGAAATAATGGGTATTTCGGATATATTAGAGGGTACTGAGGGGGGTCTAGGTCTACTATATAAGTACTTTAGGATCCCCGGATCCCCGACGAGAGGGTACCTTCACGCTACTCCACGACGTGGGCTTCCTGCGGGACCTGCTTTTATGTGAGGTTCGCTGAGGGTATTGGAACTTGGGCCAACCTACCTACTATGACTTATTATGATATGTTTATATAACAGTATGCTACAGCATATCATAGCAAATTACGGTGCTCTGCAATAGCACCGCGTCAGGAAAGCAAAGCACTTATTATCACCCATCCTCACTACGGCTATGGCAACTCGAAGAGCATTCCTTCAACACTGACCCTTAACCTTAAACCCCAAACACCCCAAATCCTGAAACCCTTCCTAGACACCCCAACTTCCCTCTATAGGATTCATATACGGAACTCGAAATACAGTCCCAGGGTTTCTTAATCAGGTTCCTACATTATGTACCCTTATAGATCCCATATACCCACCAAATACCCACCTTTTAGGGCCATAAGGACTCTATTAAAGGGCCCTTGGGGGATCCTGGTAGAGGGCTCAAGCAGCCAAGCAGCAAGGCTCGAAGGTCCCTAACGGGTTTGGGGTTTGTGGTTTAGGGTTTTAGGGTTTTGGGGTTTAGGGATTAGGGGTTTTAGGGGTTTAGGGTTTAGGGTCCTCCTTATACCGTCCTCCTTATACTTGGAGGTTCATGGGTAGTTACAAGTGGTGTTCTAAGTAGGGAAACTATACTGATAACTCATATTAGGGGACTTGTAACTACCCTACTTGCAACTACCCATGAACCTCCAAGTACCGTGAAACAAAATAGCAACTATAACAACTCTGATAGAGCCTTACAGAGACCCTCATGAATCCTTGAGATGTGATCTCGCGCAGAACCCTGCTACAAGTCTTTTGATACAACAGGATCATCGGCATTTTGGGGTGTTTAGCTTCGGGATCCTTGCCATTAAGAAGCTGAGTGCCGCGGACATGGGGTAGCTCTCTAAAGTAGGGCTTTCTTTTAGGGTCCTTGTTGCAAGGGTGCCGTACTATTTTTTGGGGCCCCTTAATCTAGAAACCTACCCATATGATGGTTGTCAATGTCAAAATTAGGGTCCCTTTTTGGGTACACCAAATATGAGGTGCCGTACTAGAATAAGGACCCCAAAAGGGACCCTAATTTTGATAACCACCCATAATACTTCTGCACATCCTGGACAAACATCCACCAGCGTCACATTCTCTCTCATCTTCGCCCATGGAAAAACGACCTACGGTCCTGAAAGGATCCAGGAACAGGAACCCTCGTGATAAGCTATACAGGGGATTCGGGATAAGGGTTGTAAAAGGGCTGAGGGTTTGAGGGTCCATATGGGGGTTTCCGAAAATAGGGGACCCAAAATACAGTGCGCATCCTAAATTAGCTGGCTTCTTACTACAAGGACCCCGAAATAAGGTACCCCTAATTGTCGAAAACTCCCATGTAGGATTCGGGGTACCTTATTTCGGGGGTCCTTATGACAAGGACCCTACTATTTAGGATAGACTACATTTAGGGTTCTCTAGCTTCGGAAACTCCCAAAAAGGTCCCGCTTATGGCTTAGGATGCCGGGGCTGTCTTAGGTCGGATAGCTTTCTTGCGGCGTGCTTACGATTTCAAAGGGTCCCAACCTAAATATAAGTCGGTGATTGTCAAAATTATGGTCCGGGTACCCTAAACATTAGGTGCCGTATTATATAAGAAGGACCCAGAAAGGGACCCTAATTTTGACAATCACCCAAGTACTTCCTAGCTGGCTCCATTCTGTTGATGGACAAAATCCTGCATGACCCTTAGGACTCTAAACTATGGGAATTATGCCGTATTCCTTATAATGGGTAATGCAGGATTTTGTCCATCAACAGTTCTTTGCATCCTTTCAGGGGAAAGGGAATTCCCGTCGGCAAGTCAGAGGCTTTCATAGGCGGAGAGCCAATCCTCGGTCAAGGACACCGTAATATAGGGCCTTCATGATCAGAATAGGGTTTTGGGTTATATTAAAGACCCCCCCAAAGAAATGTGCAGGTAGTTATTTAAGTGCCGATAGTATGCTTGTGCTCTCAAAGGGCGGTTAAGGTTCAGGGTTCAGGCTGTGACTCAAAGGCCACGTAAATCTGATAAGCTGTGTGAGCACAGCTTTCTTCAGGAGTTCTGCAGAATACCAGTGCTACAAGTACTCATAAGCTCCAGTACTATGCCTATATTAGTGCTTGCACAATATACATCCAAGTTCTATTCCAATTCTTCAAACCTGTGATTTACCCGGAGTCGTCGCTTTGGAGTTGTACTTGAGTGCTTTGATGACGAAACCCCCAACCCAAAACCTCAGGACCCTACTTGGAGGTTCATAAGTGGGGTTATAAGTAGGGTAACTATACTGATAACTCCTATTGGGGGGGCTTATAACTTCCCATGAACCTCCAAGTAGGGTCTTGAGGTTTTGCTTTGAGGCTTGACAACTTCACCGGCGCAATCTTGGTCTCCGATTCTTGGGTTTACCGTTCCGGGTTCGGGGTTTAGGCTTTATTCGGCTCTGCGTCTAGGGTTTGCGGCCGTTAGATCAGAATGCAGGCTTCAACACACTTTAGGGCTTACGGGTTAGGGTTGAAGCTTCAAGGCTCAGGGTTTAGGGTTTCGGGGTTTAGGGGTTTAGGGGTTAGGGTTTAGGGTTCAGGGGTTTAGGGGTTAAGGGTGCGTGGATTGAAATAAACTGCTTGCCTTAGCTTTACATTAAGGTTCTGTTTTGGCAGGTTTACGGGGCTTTATCATCTCTCGTGGTCCTCCTTTGTGGGGATCACAAAATAGCTTTGCACACGGCCTTAACCTAGATGTTTCGGACCTCAGGCCCCCCTGCTGTAAGCCACGGTTTAGGGTTTAGGTTTAGGGTTTAGGGTTTTGGGTTTAGGGTTCGAGCTTCTAGGCGTGACATAGTTTGGGCTTGCAGGCTCTCGGATTGATTTCGGGCATGGGAACATGTACTCTCAGTTACCCTCGCTGCTGAGCTACAGAACTACAGAACTAAACCCTTTACCTGTAGTCGCTGTATAATACTCTATACTCTATACTATACCACGAAGCTCCCGTTTAACTATGAAACCTCTGGTATTGGATTTCAGCCTTTGTATATGGAGGTTTCCGAAAATAGCGGACCCTAAAAAAAAGTACCCTAAATCAGGTACCCCTAATTTTCGGAAACTCCCACATAAAGGAGCCAAGCAGCCGCGACCCAAGGGAGCTCGCGGATTTGGAAGGGAATCGAAGGCGGGCGATCGGCGCGCTCCCACTGCAGCGACCTGGCAACAGATTCAAAGGGGAAAAGGAGGGACACTTAATGGGGACCCCTACCCTATAATGGGCTGTATAATGGGTACATTAAGGGTAATTATATACCTAGGGGTCCGTAATAAGGTCCCTCCTTTTACCCTTGGACAGATGCAAACGAAAAGGGGCTTGGAAATTCGAAGAGAGTGAATGTAAGGAGTCCTTCATATACAGGATTTTGCGAAGCTTGCCTGAAGATTCAGGCGTTTATATGTTAGTACTAAACCTGACACGAAGAGACATAGCATCAACAACTACGCTAGGCTTTACGCTAAGCCCACTAGGGATGTAGAGTTTTTGCACTAGGGTAAAAGCCAGAAAGTTGGAATATCATTATCCTAAACCCTTCTATGGTAAATTATAGGGTATCCTACCCTGAAACCATACTCCAACTTTCTGGAGTTCCCCTTAGGCCCCTAGGAAAAATGCTTCAAAACCCTAAACCCTAAACCCTAAACCCTAAACCCTAAAAACCTTGGCTCCCAAAGTCTGGGATCCCTCTGAGGCCGCAGATGCATACAGCTCTGGAAGGACCCAAATACGGTTTAGGGTTTAGGGTTTAGGGTTTAGGGTTTAGGGCTGATATCATATGGGTGGATGTCAAAATTATGTCACCTTTTTGGGTACCCCAGATACGGGTGCCGTGCTATATTAAATTAGGGACGCAAAAAGGAACCATAATTTTGACAACCACCCATATACTAGAAAGCAAGGCACGGTTTCTGAAACAGGTTTTCGGGGAAATGGCTTCCGAATTCGGAAAACTTGAGAAACAGACGAAGTGATACAGACCTTGAGCCGGCTGTTTCATACAAGGACCCCATAAATAAGGCACCAAAACGTTAGGGAGACCGGAAGTAATAGCTCCTGCTTCCTAGACTTCTCTCATCTGAAGAAGTCCAGTTCGTTTGCAAAATACCTTATCATCAGAGATGTGTGTGTGTGTGTGTGTGTGTGCGTGTGTGTGGGTGTGTGTGTGTGTGTGTGTGTGCGTGTGCGTGTGGGTGTGTGTGTGTGTGTGTGTATGTATGTGTGTGTGTGTGTAGACTATGTCAGGTCAACCCGCGGCGCTTCTGGGGTCAGTAGTTTAGGGTTTAGGGTTAGAACCTTGAAGGCCTCCAAAGGTGGGATGAGGGTAGGTAGGATTCAGGATCCCCTTATATCAGGACTCCTATTAGTAAATGAAGGGAGGCATTGTAATCCCGAGCTTTGCAATGGCAAAACCTAATAACCCTCATCCTACCTTTTGAAGTTTCAAGCCGCTGAGAACCGAGGAACATGGGGCTTAGTAAGTAAGGTTATAAGTACCTTAATTGGGGGCTAATGAGTAGCTATAAGTATAGTTCTCCTGATTAGAACCTTAGTTACTAAGTCCCATGATCCTTTGAGTAACCCTAAAACCCCTCTTGTAGGTATAGAGCGCTTATGGATCCCTTCAAAGGAATCCTTCAAGGAACCCCAGTTACTAAGTCCCATGATCCTTTAAG